TCGGTAATCTCGGTTAACACTTACAAAAAACTTCGGACCTGTTACATGGAGTGTACGCCGGATCTGAAGCGCTGACATGGGACTGCTTGCTTTGCGCTGTCACTTGTCATCGATCGTCTCCTGGGGGGTTCACGACATCCACGCATGATTGGTAAGATACGTATGATGCAGATGTCTCCAGCTCTAGCATCTTCCTCAGCTCGCTCTGTCTTTCCCGCGCTGGCACCCATTGACGGCTGAGTTTGATGGACTCATAGAGAAGAATGGAACACCGATTCGTCAGCAGAGTTCGATGGTGGCATGGCAGCTGGCCTTTGTAGAGTAAAGCCTGCGGCTCATCCCACAACGGTGCGCCGTCTGTCCGAGTACCTTTGCGCAAGGCATAGCTGCATAGAAATCCGCTTTCCTAGCCTCCCGAACAGTCAGCGCGTCCTTATGCCTCTAGACCAGGCAGTGTAAGTGGGCAGAGGACTAGTGTGACATAAAGAACTCATTGGGATGTTCACAGCGAACTTACGCCCAGTGTGCCGCTCCAGCTGGAGGACTGTAACGCGGCCATCGCACCCGCGCAGAGAACGTACAAGCGCGGTTTCACATTTTGGATGGTGTTCGTCGCCAACCTGATGGTTGACCTACTTTCTGCTCTAGATCTGGTGAGCACCTTCATTCATTTCGCGACAAGCACTCGTTGTCTGATCCAGACGTGCGTTCTTAGACGAGCGTAACGACCGCGCTCCCAACTATAATTGACCATTTTGACGGGTCAGACTTCATATGGGCAGGTAGCGGCTACGCTATTTCTTCGACCGCCATTCTCCCCGTGATTGGAGGCGTTGTGTCTGTGTTTGGGCGCAAGCCAGCACTGCTCGCGTTTGTGTCGATTTTTGCCATTGGATCCGCTATTTGCGGCGCCGCCCAGACCTTGACGATGTTCATCGCAGGCAGAGGTACGTAGAATTCCAAGTGGACATCATCCTTCTCTTCTGATGATACGCACTGCTAGTAATCCAGGGTCTCGGCGGTGGAGGCTGTATTTCGATCACAGAGATCATATACGCAGACCTGGTGCCGCTTCCGGAACGAGGAAAGTTCGTTGGAATACAGGCTTCGTGAGTGTTTGTAATTCTTCTCGCATTCAGCTTGCTGCAACATATACCGACCGTAGCGTGTGGGCACTAGCCTGGTCAGTGCTCTGTCCCGCGGTGTTGAGGCGGCTTACGATCTTTCATATTCAGCGCAATGGGACCGGTTATTGGCGGCGCATTCGCTGGGAGCGGTAACTGGCGGTGGTTGTTCTATCTGAATCTCCCACTTTGTGGTATTGCTATTCTTTTAGAACTTGTCTTCCTCAAGGTGCACACGCCCAAAGATAGTCTGCTCGTGAAGGTCAAGAGCATGGACTGGATGTCAGTCAAGTTCCCTCAAGTCTTTGTGCGATGAGCTGATGGCTGGCGTTATGACCCATAGCGGATTAACGCTCATCATCTCGAGCACGTTGGCCGTTCTTATAGCCCTTACTTGGGCAGGCGTCCGATATCCTTGGTCGTCTGTTCACGTCCTGGTCCCGCTTTGCCTGGGATTCGTAGGTATTGCGAGTTTTTTCGTGATAGAGCGAACACGTTGGATAAAGGAGCCCACTGTTTGTCCTCGCCATCTTTGTATCCCAGAATTAGAACCTCAGTGCTGTGAATTAGATTCCGCCCTTCATTGTCACCAATAGAACCACGCTGAGTGGGTGAGTAAGAAGGAAACTCTTCTCTTCGGATTCCTCTGACGCGGGTATAGGTATCTTGGGACGTTCTTCCACGGCATATCGTCCATGGCTATGATCTGTGCGTATGATTCGGTAATGAATGCACGTCCCCGTATTCATATGTGTGTAGTTTACCTTCCGGTGTACTTCCAGGCATCCAAGCTTGCTTCTCCTATCCATTCCGGCGTCGACATGTTCGGTTTGGGATTCACCATCCCAATTTTCGCGATCGCAACTGGAGTATCAGTGGAAGTCTTCCATCGATATCGTCCACAGAATTACATCGGATGGATGCTGATCACTCTCGGATTCGGGCTTCTGTCCATCCTGGACGTATATAGCTCGACCGCGATGTTCATTGGCCTTGAGCTCATCATAGGAACAGGAATGGGCATGGTCTGGATCGGCACCCAGTTTCCCATCCTAGCACCACTGCCGTTCTCAAATAATGCGCATGCCCTGGCCTTCTTTACGTTCGTGCGATGCTTTGCTCAGGTCCGCTGCCTCTTCCCTGCCGCTGCATCCGTCACTAATCCTGACGGCGCTACTCATAGAGCTGGGGTATAGTCATTGGCGGAACAGTGTTGCAGAACGTCTTGCGCAACCGCCTGCCCGAATCGTTTATATCCACGCTTCCCGGTGGTACGCAGCTGGTATACTCGATTATTCCACGAATCCCGTATTTAACGGAGTCCCTCAAGGAGGAAGTGCGCGTCACATTCGCGGAGAGCGCAACCCTCATTTGGCGTGTCATGATTGGGGTGTCTGGCGCCGGCTTGCTAACGTGCTTACCGATGCAGGAGATTGTGATGCGGGAGTCTATGGACGAAAAGTGGGGCCTGCAGGACGAAGAGACCAAATCTACTACTGTGAAAGAATAAAGATTGTGATATCCTTTCTAAGATATACCTACTGTAGAGTAGTTTCGACCACTATCGTCACTGTGTGACCTACCATGACGAGTGTGGAGAACTTGTGGAGAACGGCCGGATAAATGGACTTATGCTCGCTGTACCACATCTCGAGCCTATCGTTTTTGACTATTATTCGCCACCCGAAATGGCGGAAGTGTCACACTTCACGGTCATGCGATGCTAGTCAAAACTGCTCTGAGTCTACGTATATCTTATACGTTGTAAATTCTTTGAGTCGGATTCTCATCAGCCACATGCACTGCTGGTCACGCTGGCAGCTATCTTGCATCGTGGCATGATATGAGCGAGTGAGCAGGCGGAAGACTGCATCGATGCAGAGTGTGTGCAGCAGGTGGCCCGCTGCAGCCATGCTTGCCACCTGGTGGCTGAGTGTGTGACCAGCTGTGGCGCCAATTGCTCCAACCTAAAGATTGGATTGTGAAGTCAGTACGACAACACTTTACATAGAGATCGATTTACAGAACTAATCTGAACAGTGTAATGAACCCTCTAAATTAAATTCATTGTATGTAGGGTTTTGTCATTAGCGTACAACACACCCTGTCAGCGCATGCAGGTTATGCTACTTCATGCGGCGCTATCTATATCTTATACGTTGTAAATCATTTGAGTTGAATTTTCACTTACGGATCTTGAGTGAGTTAAGGCGGCAAGATGCGCGTTGATTGCAGCATGAGAGACCTCAACAATCCTGCTCTCGAGCCATGTTCTAACTTATGATTTGAACCTGGCACGAAAGAATTGAAAGCTTCCAGCCTAAAAGAACAATGTCTCCACCAATGTTGAGATTAGTACTCATGTAGTACCCTTTATCACTACATGGTTTTATGGTTTGTGAAGGGCCATATGAAGACCGCTACATGCTGATGATATGATAGCGACTACAGGGTGCTGTCCTTGACAAGGATTACCAGTTCCAGCCTCCTAGACTTCCTATGGGCCTTTATATTTGTCAGATAATTATCCGTGCTTACTCATTTTGCATATTAGCTACGTACACTTCAAGGAATAGCTGACCAGGTAAGCCAATTATAAAACAGCTTTGAATCAAATTAACTGCGAAGAGTAGGTTTCAGATCCTGCGTCAATACCTGCATTTTTCGACAAGCTTCCTGCGGAGGATAAGAAGCTAGTCATTTATCGGTCTGTCTCTCGTCATCGGAGTTTCATAATGTCGACTTCGAACTCGTGAAATGGGGTTTAGGACGCATGCCACGAATTGCATAATGAACCTGTTCACGAGGAAGTGGTCAGCAAGTCCATTGCGTTCATCAAGTCTCACAGCTCTCAGATCAGGTCGGGATAAGTTATGATACTTGCTTCTGCTGACACGCATTACATACACAAGGCGTGTTCGGTGATTTTATAAGTTGAGTGCAATTATATGATGGAATGTCTGTATAGTCTGGTGTTTCTGATACTGCCCTTATCAAAGGGCGAACAGATTGGATGTTGTTTCCATATGTCGGCCGTTATCAGCAATTCTGCAAGCTTGGTTCGACGCCGAATTTGTAGCGGATTCTTCTCGAGATGGCCGTGTGACTTTGCAAGGGTGCATCTGATGAAGCGGTGAATGTTATTCTTGAGATGGGGCCTGCGTGTGCTGATTGCAGACCCTACGGATAATCGATGGATGGATGACAGGTTCATGCGCTACTAGATCTGTCAGATTGAGATGACGGCAAATTCATCCACGATATACGATCTTATACAGTACGATGTGATTGCCATGTCACATTCAATATTTACGGTAATCTTTGTTTGCACAGCGGAATGAGCCGGCCGTTCCAGTGACAAGAGTTCTCAAGAATGATGAATACATCATTCAACTAGAAACTGCCAGTGGATCCCGAGAATACACCGCCGTAGGTATGCAGTGAAATACTAAGTCACTATGGATGTCCGTGTGCGCGCTGATGGCGATGGCAAGCTGGTGGCGTGGGCTAGAAGAGAATGCAGAATTGGCGCTGAGGGAGAGGAAGTGGGCGAAGGTAGGGGCAGAAGGAGGGTGCTGGGTTTGGAGCGGGTATGGAGGTGAGTGTGTGGAAGCAGAAGAATGTGCATGCGACGAGGAAGGCGATTGTCGAGGGGAAGAGTTCAGAAAACAGGCTATTGGGGCTGTGAAATTATGACAATATCCTCATCGCCCTTGCAAGACAGATGGTGAGTGCGTTCCGATAATATGTGGTATCACCAAGCCCATTGCAACGACATGTGTACATGTCTGTTGTTTGATTGTTTGACGTTCAATCCTCCCAAGACGTGTTGAACAGCTGCTGTACTCCGCCCAACGAACCATCATCGTATAAACTCATCTCGAACCAAAACGCGATGCCAAGAGACGGCGTATCGCGCATTCTGCAAAGTCTAAAATTATTCAGTTTGTATATCAAGGACTGATAAATGTACCGATTTTTATTGAGGTAAGATCATTATGATGACAGTCTGAATGAGTTTTCACTACGTTCTCTACTTCGTTATTCATCAATGCTCAACGTCGACGTACCGTATCCATTTAACCTCTCTTATTTAAACTATCATAAGACTGAGCTGATCACGTCTGTGGAACTTGTTCAATGGGCTCCATTTTTGGTGTCAATGAATGGGATTGATATCTCAAGCTGTGGGAACTTCAAGTATGCAACAATACCATCGGCAAGCAAACGGGCGAACGCATTTACACACGATAAGATGAGTGTCAACCCTCTCGTCAACGGGAGATGTGCATGTATTTTGCACTGCGGTGCAGCCTGGAATACTACCACTCTAAGTCGGGATGTCACCATGGATCTATAGCGCGCGCTCTCAGCGACACTCAAGCACCTCCACCAGATTGTCCTGTCTTCACATGCAGTCTGCCTTGTCCCTTCTATTTGGCTTGTCCCCCGCTCACGCTAAGTGCCGCAAGCTCTTCTGCAGTGAGCAACCGGGTTCCTGGTATCCGCGCCGGATTAAATGACCGGTCGCAGTCCGCGTACGCTGCACCCATTCCAAAACCTGTACCGAGGGCGATGGGCCACGCGCGGCCTGAAGTGAGATAGGGACGTTAGCGGTTAGTGAAGGATAAGAGTAGCAGCGGCCTTAGGCAGGGTGCATCGCGAGAGACATACGGCGGAAGAGGATGACAGAAGCAATAACACCTGCGCTGAAACCCACGCCTCTGCAGTATGAAATTCGAACGGGGCATGATCAGTAAACCATAGTATTTAAAGTAACAATCCGTACGCACGATTTCACAAGGAGATCTGCCACTGCAGTCCCAGACCATTCACGGCAATATATCCGCCCAAGTACCAGTGTTCAACGACGCCCGGCAAAAACAACATATGTCCCGATTAGCGTTGCTTTTGAGATTGAAAAATCATGGGTCCACGTACGGCAGCGGTCATACTGCCGACCAAAATCGTAACACCAGGAGTGAGTGTTCCGTAAATGCGCTCACACGCAGACACGCACCTTTTGTGCGACAATATTCTCGCTCGAGGCGGGCTTTGCTGTTGATTCCGAGGACATGCTCAGTTGTGAATCTCGAGATACGGAATATGGATGTTATGCACGACGGTGAAGACCGTCAGGGTAAGTTGTGACTAGCGCGAGTAAACAGCGAGCGAGGCGCGAGGCGCGCCGGTTGGTGACGTCGGGAGTGTCCAGGGTACGCGGAAAGTGCACAAGACCCAGGACACCCCATCAAGTGCATCCAGATTCTATTGCGATGCGCGAGGACTGGACGAGTTACAGAGATAAAGAAGCCGTGCATTAAGATATAATATCGATACAAGCGTGTACAGCAGGTGAATACTCCAACAAAACAAGAATATCAAGAATGCGAACATGCACTCAGACATCGGCCTGGATCCGCACCAGCTTATCCGAGGTAATCTCCTCGACGACGAACATCCGAGTCGTGACAACCATCGTCCCCCCCGGCTCCACCATGTTGACTTTTGCCATTTGGCCTTTCTGTGGGCCATGCAGAATCAACACCTCTTCGTTGGGTTTTTCCGGGTGTATTGGTGCGAGCACCTCCACGGGCACCTGTATGATGGGTTGCGATGGGTCTAAGGGCTCTGGGAACTGGACGCGCGCGGTCGAAGGGAACTGTTCGCTGTGCGTGTCAAATATGGAGAGCACTACTCCTTGCTTGCCCTCATATTCGCCGTTATACCAGCCATTAGCGCCGTGACTACTTCTGACTTCCACCATCATTCCTCGTTTGTTCGAGATGTCTGTTTCAAGCAACCATCGCAATGGGAGTTCTACAGAATTTCAACATTATAACCCATTCGACAAATCGTGACAGGCACGTACCAAATTCGCCCTCCTGGTTCGCAAACATTCCGACGGAAACGCCAGGCGTGCTGACGGCATTCCGGTGATCGCTGAACACAGCTAATGGCGTCCGGAGGTCAGCGTAGGCGTCGAAGACCCCTGGTGTTGCGGCGGCAGCGGGGGTTACACCCAAATCGGCTCCAGGCGTATAAGGAGCAAATCCAGGGGTGGGCGCACTGAGGGGTGGCTCGCCCTGGACTGTCTTAAGTAACTATCCAGTATATCAGTAGAATATTACTCACCCAGGGACCTGAAGGGGCTTCAGCCCACGCCCCTGAAGGTCTTGCCGGCGACGCCCACCCTGTCTGTCTCGGCGATGCAGCACCGCCCCAGCCCGACCTACCAGGTGTAGCACCTCCCCACGCGCCTCCGGCCGGTCGCGCAGGGCTCGCATTACCATTTGTGTATGGATTCGGCGTGCGCGACGCGGAGTTCCACGCTGGTGTCCGCCCGCCATCAGCATACGGATTGGGGGTACGAGAAGCTGCATTCCATGCGGGTGTCTTCCCCGCCGCAGCGTAAGGATTTGGTGTACGGTTCGTTTCCCACGCAGGCGTACGGTTGTCCCAAGGTGTTTGTGCCCCCGTGCGCTGACCGAAAGACGACCTGTTATTGTACGGGTTTGGTGTCCGTGTACTGCCACCCCCTTGGGAAGGGCGGCCTGCAATCGCATTCTCGAGAGGTTCCAATACACCGGTCGGTGGTCTGTGAAAACGTCAGCATCGTCAGGGGGACAATAGACACTACATACTTCCTCCACATGAGTTTCATCTTGTCGATGGAGATAACCTTGTTTCCCGTATTGAGCTCCACTCGCGCAATGGCTCCATTTGTATCTTTGATGGTCCCAATGTACCCCTTGCTGGGACCTTTGACAACAGTCACAGGAACACCGATGAGACGATCTCGTGGACCACGACCGATATTACCAGAGCCAACCATGCCACCCATGGCACCACCGCTGAGCGCAGGGTTCATTTTGGACAAGTCCGCTGCGCCTAACTTCATAATGTTTCCCTTGGGCGCTACGGACACCAGGGAACGTGCACGCGTAACGAATACACCACCGTGCTCATTATAGTCACGATTGTGCAGGAAGGCGAAGAAGGATTGGTGGGTATGCAGGACTCGACCTTTCCTTCCCTACAGGCAGACTGTGAAGTAATTCATAGTTTCTAATATGCTCAACGTACCTCGCCGTCCACTTCCTTCACGTTATCATTCACGCGCAGCTCGTGGCCTTCGGCATCGGTGGCGATCGCTCTGTTCGAGTCTCGCCGCATGGAAATTTGATGCGGTTGGACTAGGCGTACTTGACCATTCTGATCCAAAACTCGGAACGAGTCTCGCTCAGTCTTGAATATGACCCCCACAGTCTGCATACTGTAAATACAATAAGGGCGCGCATGACCAAAGACAAATTGAACTCACTCGAGTTGAACAAGATCATGGAGCTCATAGTTCCCGACGACATTGGTTCCAGTCCCGACTTCGGCTGCTTCACGAAGATCTTTTGAGAAAACGGATACCTAGACTGTAGGGTTAATATTTCACCCTTTCTAATCGAATCAGACCTGTACCTCTTGCATGGACATGTCAGACAGGAAAGTGACGACATTGGCAGACACGGAGACAACTAGACCCGTTTCATCGGCATTCTGACCTGTCATGACCTTTACATGGTCTCCGGGCTTGAACCGCTTTCGAACACTTCTTGCTGGTAACTGTATCCGCTGGCCATCAAAGTCGACACCGACTGGCTGGATGGAAACAATATCTTGTTCAATTGAATGTACCGTTCCATGGACACCCGACTGTTCTCCCTCGAATACCTCCACATGATCGCCAGGCTGTAGAACTGATATTGCAGCCTTCCGAGAAGCTTCAGCAATAATGGACAGATCGACATTGGCATCGTTTTCTGCGCCATCTTGACCGTGCGTGAAACGCGTAATCTCGTCCAGCGTGGGATTGACATTGTCAAGTTGGAGGCCAGCGAGCTTGAAGTCCTTTTCTATGAAGCCGTCCTTGTAAGTTTCGTTCTGGAACACATAGACCTGGTTTCGCTTCGATACTGCCTTGCGTCCATACACCTTGACAACTTCTTCGTAGTTGAAGAATCGTTGTGGTGGACGCATGCTGGACGATGAAATGCCAGTCGGACCTTTCTTTCGTTTCTTACCCATAATCTCGACAGATCCATCGTCTTTGGGGTTTAAGTCGATACGCGGGATGAATTTAAGCCCAACTTCTTCACCGTTCTCCGTGATATCCATGACTTGCGCAATATCGCCTTGGTACTTCCCTCGTCGTATGCGCACCCAGCTTCCGGGAGTAACAGTCAGGTCTTGTTTCTTGATCTGGAGTAAACTAGCCATCTCCTCAATTGGAACGAGGATTATACCGCGACTAGGGTAGATCCCAACCAGTCCGTTGCAAGCATCGCTGACTTGCTTAGCACTCCGCGCTTCAACATATATCATACCGGGAAGAGAGTCACGTTGAAACGCTGAGACAATTTGCAGGGGTCGATTTGAGTATTCCAAGTCAATAGCCTTCCTCATAAGACTAAACACTAGATCCCTCTCTTTTCCGGGCTGGAACTCTATGAGCATCAAATTAAATGCAAATGCGAGTAGACTTACTCGAACGCGAACTTGCCAGAGATTGGCGTCGTGAACGGATGGCATGAGCAAACGCTGTGGAATGTCGCTCATATCACCTGAATAGCGCACAGCGGTTCGTCTGTAACGTTGGCTAACGTCTTCCGCAATCTTGGCGAGGTCTTGGTCGTCGAGCTCTCGTTCCCGCCTGTCAAACCGTGCATGGTCCGCTGCTCTTCGAGCAAGGTCGTCTTCATCGGCCTCACCACCAACGACAAATTCATCTAGTATAACATTCAGCGACTAGCGGTCGGAGATCGAGCTGGAAGCAGCTCACCACGAGCATACTCGTCCTCCTCGTCCTCATCCTCTTCATCTTCGTCTACTTCAGCCTCGACATCAAGGAAGCGGCCGACAGCCGACCTCTTCGTTCGCTGTATGATGTTCAATCAAAGTGGATGATCAATAATACGGACACAGACCTTTGGTCGCTTCTTCCCTCGTTCAGCGCCCATATCTTCTTCGTCCTCTTCGTCCTCTTCATCCTCTTCATCATCATCGTAGTCTCGCCGTGAAGGCTTCGGCGGGTTCTCCTCCTCTTCCTCATCCTCTTCTTCTTCAACTTCTTCGTTTTCCTCAAAACCCTCGTTGTTGAAAGGAGCATCCTCCTCTGCGTCAGACATCACTGCAGGACGAAAAGGGTGTAGAAAGAAAGCGAGGCGGAGGGACACTGGACAGGGAACGGACAAGAGCGAATCTCCAGGCGCCTAGATCCTGCGTGGCACGTGCGAGTTGCGGATCGGTTCGACATTTACCCCGGGGCAAACCGAGGTTCAGCACTTAGCTTTTGACTCGGTTGCTTTTGACCTTGCTCAGGCTGTTGTCGACAGACTCAACACTGCTGGTATCATCACCGCTCTCTTTACGCGCGCTCTGGAGTATTTCTGCCGTTCCGACCAAAGCTAGCCCCACCGCGTCTTGTATCCAAAAGCATGTACTTCAATAAATCTCGTTCATCAAGAATATCTAGCTTCAGATTCATAGAACATTATGTGGTGACGAGCTCATAACCACCGTGTAGTCCTACACTTTCCGTCGACAAATAATATCAAATTGGCCTTAGATCATATCGGCCTATCGGCACTTGTTGCTGCGATCGAGACGCGAGGCGGCACACAAGTCGTGTTTTTTAAATCGCGATTTAATTGCACAGTATTAAACATGTATACTGGCCTGCACTCAATGCATCGGTGCGTTAGCGTACATCTTGAGTTCATCGCTCGGGAAGATTATGGTGTCGATCATTTAGACTGTGTTCATCTCCTAATAGTGAACAAGGATATTCAAAGTCTTTCGGACTCTCGGATATGTGTCTCAAGGTTGTGGTAGGCGCGTGACAACAAGTAACGAAATCATAGTCCTCGATGGTGGATAATGACCTAGGATGTAATCCATATGTCGATGTCTCTCCTCTTGGAGGCGCAGGCGAAGCATAACCCTCCCCCATCATGCGGTTTACTGCAACGGGGAAGGTGTGTGGTGTATCCAGGTTGGAAGAGTAGCACCGGCAACAGTGCTCAGAAGCAGAGTTAGGCCGTACGTTTCAGTGATCGTCCATTCATCTTTAACTTACCTTTTATAACGGTCCATTATGTTCAGCGTGCAATTCATCATCGGTGGCTGTTGTAGTGGCAAAATGTCCAATCTAAAACTCAACAAGAAAAACTTTCAAGGCTCTCAGCGCGACAACATAGATGGTGACATACGGGGACCCGCCATTCCTGATCTCGTACCGGTTTGGCGAAGCAGGAGTCAGATGACAGGCGATGTTGGGCGTAATCGAGATGCTCTATGGCATGTCAGGCTCTCCGGCTCTGGACCGTTCTCAACAGGCTCTATACCCTGCATGCCGCGTCTTCTCACACTCGGCCCTCAAGTATTGAAACTGTCGTCGAGTATATTGAGGTACGCTGTTGTCGCTTTCGGAAAGAATGGAGTCCCATTGAATTGAGACACTTGATTCACGTATCTATTCACGTCATATTCCACCTCAGCGTAAAGCACCCCAAACGAAGCTACAACCCGGCAGGAAAAGCTGAGATCGCGGGACCTCACCCTGCTCCCTGTGGAGTGGCCTTGAGGTTCTCCGCTCCTTGATTCGACTTCTCGAAACTGTTCTTGATTCACAGGACTTGATATGGGGATACCCTCGCGGCAGAGCCTTGTTGAATGCTGCTGTATGAGCAGTGTCCAACCATGTGTTCTCCGTTTACTATGTATTCTGATGGACGACTGTCCAAGCAGTGACTGGTCGGTACCGTGCCTTCGTGGGTTGTCGAAGTAGGGGGGGCCTCATGACAGAATGACCTATCTCTATCATGAACAGAACAAACACGGTGCTTTTGTTGGTCACAAAGTTCACAGACAGAAGGTTCGCGATAGTGAACGGCGACTAATTGGCTCTGAGCGATTGTGATAGTGGCTTAGACATCTGCTGACCCTCACGTTGGTAGACTCCACTGGCTTCGAAGATAAACGCAACGTATAAAAGTCTGACTGACTGTTCCTGCGAGTTGAGGGCTTGTCTCTTCGCTGTACATTACTCCCAGTTCTCATCCAGTAGTCGTTCAACATGCCAGTGCCGACGGTCCCATCTGTTCCCCACTACACACCTGCGCCTCCGACTCAGGAGCCTCGTGAGTTTCTTGGTCTTATTCACTCCTTAACGCTAACCTTGTACCATTGCTAGTTGAGTATGCGAACCTCGCAATTCTTGATTTCGCCAAGCTAGATACTCCCGAGGGAAAGAAAGAACTGATCGAACAAGCCCGCGATGCTTTGAATACGGTGGGATTCTTCTATGTTGTCAATCATGGATTATCCCAAGCCGAGGTATATTGCCTCAATCTGAAGTGGAAGACACGCTCATACATTTTATAGAATGAACGCATTGTCGACATCGCAGATGTCCCCTTCTCTCAAGTAGAAGACGAAGAAAAGCGCCTCTATACAGAAAACATCAAGCAAGCTGGCTCATATGAAGGTTACAAATTAAGACAATACTGGGTGCGCCTCAGAGATTTTATCGTACAAAGATTACTCATTGGCTGTGATAGCACATTGATGCTGGTGTGCGCGATCAAATTGAGCACTACAATAGTATGTAGACACTTGGTGCGGAGACTGTGGAGATATCTTGACTACCACGATCAGTTCTTCGCGACGTGACGAAAAAGCAGCATCCGAAGGCCCTGAGACCTCTTCTTCCTGAGATCGAGGCGTTTTCAAAGTTCAATCATTACGAGGTTCTCCATCCCATCCTTCGGTATGTGCTCGTCTTCAATTGCGGTCGACAGCCCTAATGCAAAATAGCTTGTTGGCTCTCGGCATGGAATTGCCTGAGGACACTTTCGTGAAAAGCCACAACTGGTCTGCAGTGGGAGAGACCTGGCGTAAGAATTTCGTACACGCCTCACGAGCCAAACTGACTTCTCTACATGATGTTCAGTGCGAATGATGAAATAGTGGGTTGGAATGTTTTCTGTCGTCACCCTATTCTTCATGATGACATTTAGCTACCCTCGTTCTGAGGACGACGAAACAAAGACCAAGAACGTGTGGCTCAAGGGGCACACCGGTACGTGGACCTAGTTTCACATGGGCGAAGTCTGACTTTCATTGGCGCAGACCTCGGAAGTATCACAATCCTCTGGAGCCAACCAGTTGCCGCTTTGCAAATCCTCTCTCCCGATGGTAAATGGCGATGGGTCAAGCATATCGACAACGCACTCGTACGCCCCAACCTTGTTACATTGATCACATTTTGAGAGTTTGTGGTAGGTCGTCAACGCTGGCGACAGCATGGAATTCCTATCTGGTGGCTTCTACAAGGCGACCATCCACCGTGTGGTTCAACCTCCCGCAGACCAGCGCGGCTACACTCGCCTCGGATTATTCTATTTCGCGATGCCAGATGACGACCTTAAGCTCAATCCGCACGTTGAGAGCCCCGTTTTCCAGGAGCGGGCCGTTAAGCGACGCTTCGATGAAGAAAATACCCCCACGATGGAGATGTGGCGCAGAGGTAGGATCAGCGCATATGGGCAGTCACAGCTTCAAAAGAAGGCGAATGGCGACGAACAGCAGGTTATCCATGGGATTGTGGTGACACACTTCAATTAGATTCTGCTGTTGATGCGGACATACACCAACCTCCTGCTCCTATCACACCTTTTATTCTGATACTCACCGTCTGCAGAGCCCTGTACTATAGTGTGGCCAAACCGCCACAGTCCAGTGTCTGTCTATATTGCATGCAGATTCAACCGTTGATGAATGGTCTAACGTTGTGTTGCGATTGCTGTTCATGATCAACATGCGTAAAAATTCCCTAGACATGGTATCCACTACGGCCTATCTTACACTGTCCCTTCTCTGTCGATATTCTGTCCGCCCGATCAACTGCCTACGTGATGACGGTAGGCTTCTCTCTCTCCAGGAACTCCTTTAATTTGCTGAGCTCCAGCGCAACCTCGATGAGTCCACTCAGACCCTCCGTGGTAGGCTTGGTAAGCTCCGCAACGCCCTTGTCTGCTGCAACATATCGCTCGACGTACATCCGCACCGTCGCACCTTGGCTACCAGTTCCGCTAAGACGGAAAACAACGCGGCTGCCGTCGTCGAAACCCACGATCTGGCCCTGGTTCTTTGACACGCTGCCGTCAATGGGGTCCGTGTAGTCGAAGTTGTAGGCGTTTTTAACGACGAAAGACTGGCCAGTCGACTTCGACAAGTACTTTTTCCCGGCGAGATCACCCTTGCTGATGTGTTCATTCAAGGCGTCAACTAGCTTCTGTGCACCCTCTGACGACACCTCCTCATAATCATAACGAGAAAAGAAAGAGCGCCCGTAAACCTCATAATGCTTCTGCAAGAGCTCATTGATTCCGAGGAGCTTGTTAGGCGACTGCTTATTCGCATATGCGAGAATGTTTAGCCACGCTATTGACGAATCAGCATGCACAAATGCGTTCACGCATCTGGAACACGCACCTACAACAGCCCATACGCCATCTTTCTCCCGAATGTGGTCCGAGCCAGTACCGAAGGACTCCTCACCACAGATAGAGAGTTGACCCGCATCCATGAGGTTTCCGAAGAACTTCCAGCCTGCGAGTAAAAACCCCTTCAGGTCGCAAATCAACTTATCCTGCAGTGGTAACATACCCGTGGGTACAACATGGCATTCCAGTCCTTTCTTCTTCGCAACATAGTCGATTTGCGCGCTAGTGGGCATGCTGCGTGCCAAACCTTTCACGCCACCCTTCTTGAAGTACGGAATCGCTTCCGCCCAGTCAGCGATGATGGCGACACTATCACTGGGTGTCACGAATGCGCCCTTGCCGTAAATCATGTTCCGGTCGCCATCGCCATCGCTCGCCGCGCCGAATTGAATGTTTTCTCGTTCGACACGTTCAACAAGATCGTGTGCATACGTCAGGTTCGGGTCTGGGTGTCCGCCGCCGAAGTCCGGAAGGGGCTTGTCGTTCTGAACGGACGATTCCGGCAGTCCCAGAGTATCGACGAAGATCGCTCGCCCATACGGGCCTGTCACGCCGTGCATACCATCGAAGAGTACGCGGAAGTCATCCGCATGCTCGAGGAGGAACGTCTTGATGAGGGGGAAATCGAAGATCGATTCAAGGAGCGCAAGGTAGTCCGCGACTGAGTCAATAACTTCGACCTTGGTCGGACCGAACGTGAACGATCCAGCTCTCGAAAGATCGAGTGGAGGGAGATCAATGATCTTGTAGCTCGAGATCGTCTTGCTCTTCTCGAATATCTTATTCGTCACATTCTCCGGGGCAGGCCCACCGTTCGAAACATTGTACTTGATACCGAAATCGTTGGTGGGGCCTCCAGGATTGTGACTTGCGGTGAGTAAGATGCCGCCATTCGCTTTGTATTTCCTGATCGCATTTGAGGCAGCAGGGGTGGATAAGATGACGTTTTTCCCGACGATGAATTTAGCGACACCGTTGGCAGCACCGATTTTAAGGATAGTCTGTGCCGTCTCGGGAGAGAAGTAACGTCCATCTCCACCGATAACAAGGGTTGCACCGTTGGGCTCAATCGAGTCAAAGATCGCCTGTACAAAATTCTCGGTGTAGTGCTGCAAAGCTGTATTATTAGAGCCTGAGCAGCGATGGGTCATGATGAGCTTGCCTCCTGTTGGAAAACTTTTACCCTGTGACAGAAGAGTCAGCACTCAAATTCAAGGGCCCATATACATAGCTCTCCTCTTCAACCAACCCTCTCAACCACGTTTCTCCCGACACCGTCTATCTCGCCCAGTACGAACGATAAACGCATTCAGGACAAGACAAACCTACCTCTTTCTGAGACCTGAAGTACCAGGCTTTTGCCCATCGAAAGGCTTTGTCTGTATCTCTTTGATTTGGAAGGACATCGATGGCAGAAGTGAGATGGACTCGGCTGGAGAGTCTGTTCAGCCCAGACACTCCGTTTAAATGACCCAATAGCCACCAGTCACATGACCGACGCGTTCCTTCCTGATTCGGATCGTGCTAATCGCCTTTGATTAGATCTTAGAATAGAACGTGCGTGCACCGTCTTGGGCTCAGTCACTGAGCCCAAGACGGACGTACGGAACGACGGAAGCTTAGCATTGCGTTGAATTTTACACATATAGGCCTCAGGCGTTTGGTAAGTCAGACACTTCAAGACATCGTGGGTAGTATGGCGTTAGGCCATGAGTCTCGACGCCATAGCGAATGGTCTAGAGTACCTGAATCGGATAGCAGACATCCAGTCCACTTTCTTTGTTACATCGATCGCTTAGGTTCTAACGACGAGGAACTGTTCCGGGATTTCTGGATTCTCGTACGCCCCAAGCCGCACATCGATCCCCAGAGAGCCATCTTCCTCATACTTTACGACTCTCTCGACCTAGGTATGTCAAAGGAGATGCACGTCAGCGCTGATAATCCGGCACATAAACAAGGATATGCCTGACCTGCAAAACACGCGTGTTGTAGCCGAACTGTTTGAGGTTCGGACCGCACTGCTTCACTATGGATAAGATGCGCTCGCGGGCCATGACCGGGATGTCCTCGGACCCGAGATCTAGCGGGCGATTGACATGGACCGCGCATAACTTACGTGCCTGCGCTAGACAGGAACCTAGGGAGTCCTGTATGTTCCAGGCATGTCAGCATGGGATTCGCGATGGCACAAAGCGGCGAATGCACACCAGTGAATTCTGTTCAACGACAATGAACAACTGCTCCAGCTCTACACACCGCCTGCAGATATCATCTATGGAGAGCATGCTCATCCGAATGCGATGGACGGAGAAACGGCGCAATCGGTGCCCATGCGCATTGACGATGCTCGTGCAGAACGACTCGCTCAGCGCGGGTCCAACATGACCACCCACAGTCGAGATGTGGAACCGTTCCAGTGGTGCACTTGCAAGCAGCGCTAGTACATCCTTCTCCCAAGTCGGAGATGATTGTACGTTTACTGTTAAAGTAATTGAGCCGAGGTGGGAGAGCGCACCCGAACGGACACAGTCTTGGCTGAAGCGCGCCATGTCCTAGTGTAGATCATTCGCATCTGACCCGAGAGCTCAGAATCACAGAGCGTACTCACGAATTCTGGCGATAAACCTTCCATGCCCAGAGAAAACAAGCCATGTGTAGTACCCGAAAGAATTGTATAAAGACCACGATCAGTGACCTTCTGGCAGTTCACGAGGTACAAGTGCTCTAGATTGACTAGATGAGGGGCTAGGCTCTCCAAAACACCATCGTGAACAAGCGTTGAGGACTGGAGCCCACGTCAGCACTCTGCGACATTCTGAAGAATTGAAGCCTATATTACCTTGCATATGAGGCTGAGGTGCCTCAGGGAGGCTCCGGTGACGGATATCCACGCGGGCAACATCTCGATGACCCGGGCGCTGGGCATGATGAGTGAAAGACGCCGGAGATGAGTGAATCCAAGGAGAGTGATGGGGTCATAGTGCCCTTCATAACGACCGTTGATCTCGAGCTCCTCCAGGTGCGAGCAGTGTAGTAGCGCTTCCAGTATTTCTGTCGTCAATGATCCGTCGCGTGTCCATGTACACGAGCGTAGATTAACGCAGTTTTGGATGCCTTGCAGACAGATGCTGAGAACGTTATCATAATCGGAGGATTGTAGCGCTTTGGGGAAATCGCGGATAACTGCGACACCCGAGCGAGTGAGTAAAACATAGTTTCTACGGCGAGCAATTTGGGCGTAGAAAAAATCAAGAGGTTTCACCGTTTGCAAGGTCCAATGAACGAATGGGGCGCACCCGTTCTTTGAGATACTGACGTTTGGAAGCTACCAAAATGCAGGATTTAGAATGAATGAAGTGCTAACCGAGCTGTTTAACATGCTGCGCGAGATGTGAACATTCGCTGAGTGTTTTGAATAGTTTCACGACCTACGAAGACTGTCAGGGATATGCCTCAGATGGCTCGCTTAGCACATTACCTTCGCTTTCCCTTCCTTGTGCCATGCGTATATGAACGCACGCTCGTACAGGAGTGATATTGCAAAGGTGTAAAAGTACTTGTTCACTAAACATAGTGCCGCGAAGTGACTTGGTCGGACGAAGTGCTGGACAATCAGCGGAAGGAGTTCTAGGGGAAGATCAAGAAACTGGACCATATGCCTGAATCTCTTTCACTCTGCCCTTGATTAAGGCGATCCAGAAAAAGAGGAAGCCGTGTGACATCGACGTTGTGGACTGCTTTCAGCCACCCGGTCTCGGAGTGCGGAGCGCAGTTTCCGCTCATCACATGCGCGAGCCCAAGGGCGTCCGACAAGGACTCCTCCGCCGGTTAACGTGATTCTGAATGTAGTCCTAGTCTACTACTAGTCCTCACTCGGAGTTAATTGATTCTTAATGTTCAACAAGCCTCGGCCAGCTCATCATACCCCGTACCTCCTCCCGGAACCAATGGAACCAGTTGTTTACAAATCGGCTCAGCTTCGGCCTTATGCAAAGCTACCCGAGCTTGTCGATGAGGATGTATAATTGCGCGAAAATTCAGCAATACCATCTCACAAATTCAGTCATCCTATCGTCATGTCCAAAACAATCCACGAGACCGTAGCTAAACGCATCGTCTTCACGACATCCTTGCCAGTCGCCGAGATCGTAGCTCGTCTCGACAAGGAGCTCAACAGGGACAAACCGGGCCCTACGATCAACGAAATTCTGCGTAGCTCGAAGACGCGAGACGAACAGGAGCAGAAGATAGGGGAGCTGTCTGGAGGAAAGGATTTCGTGTGCGTGATATTCGCAAGCAGACGGCCTTGCGCAGTGCTGATGTTCGAGAACGGCAGATTCTTCGGTGTGCAGCCGCACCACGTGTGGCGAAATGTGTACAGGGGCACGACGAGCTCACCGAAGACGTACCAATACGTGCTCGGGAACCCGCTCATTGCGGAGACGATGTTCAAGCACGACCTCTATACTGGTCTCCACGTCCCGCCGCGGATTCTTGTCGCGGAGAAGGCTGATGGAAGCGGCACTGAGGTTGTCTACATATTACCATCGACAATCATTGCGATACCAATTGACGGAAAGGTGAATGCCGAGCTCAAGGCCGCAGCAGAGGCTCTTGACGAGAAACTTGAGCAGCTGGTGCGGAGGGTGACGTCCGTGTAGCCGACATTCCGGGGCAGGAGACAAAGGGGCGAGAAACACACCTGCATCACTTCTGAGTCTAGTATGGTGTAGTCTCTTCTTGTGAGAGCGATATGATCACAACGTGTTTGATTGAAGCGTGCGGGTTGCATAGAAGCTGTATACGTATCTATCGATAACACGCACCTTCACACAAAGTACAGTTGAACGGACTGGTCTATCCCGATATAGAACCGCCTCCATTTTCTGGAACCCGTAGAGTGCCAATATAAGAGCACTGGTGAGAAAGTGTGAGGGACGGTTAATAACACGTAGTGATATTGCGCAGGAAATGAGGCTGTTTCACAGCGAATGAAGAACAAGCGTGTAAATATGCAACACGTCTGGTGCAATTGGTCGAAGTTGTGCGGCTGTGTACATGAAGTCTGAATATGAGCTGGCACAAGGATAAAATCTGTGGGCAGCAAAACGGCGGCAGACGCGCAAGGGTTGGTAGCCACGCGAGCTTCGCGTGGCCTTTCCTATCAGGGCAGTGAGGCGACCGAGGGATTGAATAAACGCTCTCCTCTCGTGCTGCAGCCGGGTCGTCCGATGCTGTTCTGCTCTTGTTCTGCTCTCACCCTTCCCTCTTCCAACGACTAGCCCGAACCTTTGGTGTTTTGGAAAAAATTCAGCCAAACATGTTGCTGGAGGGAGAACCAAGCACCAGTGTGTCGACCATCCGCGGTCTGCACAGACTGGACACTGCCATCCCCTTCAGCATGTCGGACACCTCTTCTGAGAGATACTCTGAATTCACAGAGACATCAAGACCTCACTCCCCATCGCTCCCATCATCTCCGCACAGTGTGCTGCCCTCGCCGAGCAGCCCCTCTGGCGACTCAGTCTCCTCCTTTCCCTCCGTCTCCTCGTCCTTCCTCTTCTCTTCTGGTCCCGGCAGTCCACCACAGCTCCCACTTCCGGATTCGCATGGAGGCGGTGAGTTGCACGACTCCACTCGAGGGCTGATTATCCCATCGCTGGCGCTCCCCTCTCCCGCACGGCGTCCGACAGCGTATGGCCAGACGTTAGGCGACCTCCGCTTGCTCATTCTCGCCCCTCGCCGTGCCGCGTCCTCTACGGCAGCACTCGTAGATCACTTGCTAGAGGAAAATGAAGACGTAGTCGACATAGGCCCTTGGGAGGAGCAACAACCCGGCGGCACACCCTCTGATGAAGCTGCAGATGATGAGAAGATAACCGTGCGCCGAGCGTCGACTCACTGGGTCGAGCATCGGGACGCCCACGGACTGGAGCGCATCGAGCCTGCACGAAACGTGGAGATTGCGGAACTTCCGGGATACGATTCTTCAGATGACGTGCGTGCGCGTGCAATTCCCCCCAGACATACTTGATGATTGCTGACGAACGTGTATCATTACGTCGCGCAGGCCGAGGATATTGTTAGGCGGACACTTCCCGTAATCCATGCGCCCTTCCGCCAGGTGTTCAAAGCGCTCAACCCTGACTGTGCCCCAAATACTGTGCTTGCGAGTCTCCTGTCGTCTTCGACTGCGCCTCTTTATACAGCTATGATCCTGCTGTTGACGTCATGTGAGTATTTCTGCCATGGCGGGATGCATGCCGTAATTGCCGGATCTGTGAGCGCGCATCATCGTCTCCTTGCCGTCGCCCAGAGTTGCATTTGTCGTCAAAGGATCTGCAGCACTGTGCCTTTGAGCCTGAATTCACGGTTGTCCTGATAAGAGAGTGATGTATGCCCAGGGCCTGAACCAGCCGATCTTCGACAATTCAAAGTGCTGGTTTGATTTGACCAGAGGCGGTTGTTGGCAGCATCTTGCCAATGTCCGTCTCTCGTCATCATTTACTACATGGTGTTCGCGCAAGGGGAAAATGATTGACGTTGCACGGACAATGATCAACGCTAATTTTGCTGTTCAATTTCTGGCCTACCACCTCATCGATTTGAGCTGACACACGTTCTCAGCACCCACCCAGACGGAAAAGGTTCTCATGGACGCACTCAGCCCGCATGTTCCGCTCATCGTCATCCCCCCACTGCCGGATCCGCCGTCTTACCCATTCTATACGCCAAGCTACTCGTCATATCCGCACACTGCGGATTCCTCCGCCTTCGCATCACCCGTTCATCCGCCCGAGTCTAGCTCACCTTCCGCCAGTGCACCACTTTCGGCTTTTCGCCCATCGTCACCTGAGGCGTTGCGCGCGGGCCTATTCCGCACGCCAGAATCACTTGCACATCTCCGAGCAGAGGGCGTCGCGCGCTTCCTGCGCTGGCGCGAAGTCGAGCGAGCCGTCGAGCGCATCAACCAAAGTTACAGCGTGGGGCCCACCAAGCCCGCTAGAATGGAAGCAAAGCAGGGAATGGTATCAGGACCACCTACCGAAGCACCTGCCGGGGGCCAGGAGAAGATCGGGTGGAATAAGGCGCAGTGGGAAGCCGAGTGGGAGGGCACGCTGTCAGAAGACATCGCAGTCGCACTTCGACAGCGGAGACGCGCCGAGACTGTCGTCGCGTCGCGTCTCCAGTGTGAGCAAGACGAATGCAGTCTGGATGACCGGCGCCCGCCTGTTTTCTCCGAGATGCAGATACGCAGGATGCGCAGGCCTTCGCAGGCGTGCGCGCCAGCTGCGTTTGACCCACTACACGCACGGTCGCTGTTCATGTTTTCGCTCTCGTTGCTGCAGCCGCTTCGTGCGCGGCTGATGTACACGCTGTCGTGTGGCCGGTTTGGTATTGGCAGCCGCGACACTCGCGAGGAGAGTGCAGTGGAGGAGACAGAGGGAAGAGCGCAGGAGAAAGTACGTACGAGCTTTGGTCTGCATTTAGGTTTGGCGCTGGTGGGCGCGTTTTGTGCGGGGATAGGCCTGGGGCTTCTCGCTGCGAGAGGGTAATCGTCGACATCGATATCTGATTAGTAGTTTTACCTGTAAGTGCTCTTCATTTCGCGTCTCAGCTTCTGTCACCAGGATTGTTGTAGTGTCTGTGTAGGGACCGTGGAGTCGGGTGTAATTTTAGGTGTCTTCCCCTGCCGTTCCGTTCCTGTATCTCACGCCTGCACATCTATATTTCATGACTCGGTATCCGTGATGCAGGAGTCTCCTCGTCCTCTCGACTACTCACTGCTGCACGGTCATGGCAGGATTCAACGGTACCCTCTCGCGAACTGTGGCTGAAGTGCGCGGTCTCGTGCCCGTAGCACGAGGTCACGTGGAGCGCGTCGCGTGTGGCACGCGTGTCGGCGAGGTACGATCGACTCTGCATCAATCGGGTAGCCGCTTTGTGTCCTCCTGACCATGCTCGCTTCACGTTTGAACATGTGTGGGTTCACCGTCCTTGATTATTCCATTTCCCTCCCGTCGGGGTCGACGTCCGCTGGCAAACCCTCTGGCAGACCCACCACAGACGGCCGCGGCGCAGCATGCAGAAGAAGCCAAGCATGGAGCAGCGCCATCTGCGGACGAAAAGGAAGCTGGCCGCCGGGAATGGCTCGAGGTCGAAGCGGAAAAATCCCAGAGTACGACTACGTCCAAGACCGACAGCGGGCTCTGGCAGCCCGAGTATTCAGCCGCCGTGGCCGTCTTTCTCTCTCACCCTCGTTCGCGCGGCGCTGCTCTCGCACGAACACCCACTTCACCTTCCGCTTCTGCTTTCTCAACTTCAGGAACGCTTGAGGCAGCGCCAATTGTCGCGGTCCGCTGTGCGGTCCATTCAACATCACAGAGTCTACTCGCAGGCGAACACGACGTTTTGGTTCCGGAGCTCGCAAGAAAACATACCGGACGCGCAGGCGGACGACGACACCGTGACTCCATGCACGGACGAACCTGAACCGATTTCCCTGGAGACCACGTCTGAAGCCGTACGTGGATTTTCCTGTGCTGTATATTTTAACAGCGCTTTTGATTCATCGAGTGTCTGTGTTGCAGGAGAATCCAGGACAGCCTGACGTCGATGTAGACAATACGGCCTCTGTCGATCCTCTAGAATGTCGAGACTCATCAGTTAGCGACGACGAGCGGCAGCCGCGACGGACTTGTCTTCACATTATGATATGTATACGTAGGTTGGGGATCCATTGCCTTCGCTCTTTCACTGCCTGCGCTTAGGGACGTATGGTTATTCTGTAGTATTATCTGGGCCGCCTGGCCAATCGCTCTGCTCAATCCTTCATAGACGTAGACTATGCATACATTTTTCTGTAGTACTATCCACTTTCACGACACTATAGAGAACCTCACGATACCCATGCATTTGCACGCTCACGTTGTCCGCAATATGATAGTCACGTCTGAATCTGTAACTTTCTGCACGACGAGGATCGGTGAAGCTTGTCTGACAATCATGCAGCAGTACGCACAGATATTGAACAGGTCAAGTGTTCGTATGCGGTCGACCACTGTATTGGAATTCATATTCTGCACACGCAATATATCATGTCTTTTGCATAGAATCAGCTTCACTTGAAGTATATAGTACCCGGCCCGAGCGAAGGTGAGCGTCTAAATGTTCAGATCAATTAGAACTTGAACTGATTAAAATCATCCAACGACTCAATTTCTCCAACACCTTTGAACGCATCCCTTTCGACAGATGGTGCAAATGTCTGACCAGGATCTCTCTGAGGGAACTCGATCCATTACTCAAGAGGCCCTGCGATGTGACGACATCCTTGCGGAAATCTTTCAGTATTTACACCCATCAAGCATGACCAGTAGGGCGATGCAGAGCGATTGCCAGCGTGCGCTAGTTTGCTGCGCTCGTGTCAACAAAGCCTTCTCGCATTATGCTCTAAACAGCATATGGTGTGAACTCGATAACGAGAAATTTGCATTGAACATATTGCCCTCGTTCCAGGAAATTGTCTACAACTATGGACGCCGCTATCGTACATCTCTTTGGGACAGACTGGAATCCACATACGTACGTATTTTACCTATTGCCGGATGGCTCAAAGTTGATGCCCATCTTCTACAGCACCTCCAGGGTGAGATCTCACCGGCTGAGGTAGAGCGCTTCCATTCATACGCCATCCGAGTTCGCAGTATTCGCGTCTCTGCTGAAGAGAAACCTGGGATACGTAGTGTGGTGATCCAGCAAATTGCCGCACTGACCGGAGGATGCCTGTTTCCTGCACTCAATCGGCTGGAATGCTCCTATTACGAAATGAGAGATAGCCTCAAGGACATCATACCATCCATGCTAAGTCCTACCCTTCAGCATCTTTTTATTGGGGAGAAGCATGTGTACAATTTGGAGGACAAATTGGAACGGGATTTAGAAAGTACAATTCAAGACATCGTCACTACTTGTACTCTGCTGCGACAAGTCGAGCTATACGGCCTTTGCAAACACGTGGACGTGGTCTCTCTCGTTAATGCTTGCAAAGACCTTCGAGACATATCGATGCCTCTCTGCTCCGTCAGCAATGCAGTCTTTCGAGGTCTTTCCGCTTTGCCGAAGTTGACAAAATTATCACTCAATATCCATCAAATCGACATCGAGGCCGGTACATGCAGACAATTCTGCACACTGACCGAATTGAAGCTTGGAGGATCCGATCGCCAAATGTCAGACTTCATCCTGTCTGGCGAGTTCCACACTGTTCAGATGCTTGAAATTGCATTTACTTCAGTATCGTCCATGGAATCCGCACATACCTGCCTTTTGCATGTCGCATCGAAGTGTTCAGCATCTCTACGCATACTACGGCTAGGGTTGAAGAATGGAAGTCAAATATGTGATGGAGCTCTTGTTGACCTAATCTCCCCCTTCTCCCCTGCCATTCATCTGCGTTCAATACGTGTTAATCTCTGCTCGATGAAAGTCACGTACGCCGCCGGTAACTTCCAACAGTTCGCATTCACCTGGCCAGAGATTGAAGATTTTACGCTCGGCTATGCTTGCAATGACGCTATCAGGTTCGAACCCCACACCAGCTGTCTGCAGATGCTCTTCGACATTGCATCCGTTTTTCCTCGTCTCCGCAACGTGACCCTACCAAGTCTGGAACCTTTGCCACATGTGGAACTTCAGACATATGGACTTACACAACACGGTCTTGAAAGAGCAGCCTTCAAAGACGGAGAGGCGATCGAGCGAGCTTCCCTCGATGATGCACCAATACGTCGTCTCTTAACCCTACTCGTTTCCATATTTCCTACTTTAAAGCTTGATTATAATGGGACAGGATGGGAGTACCTGAGGGAGTCGTATACCACTATTTTCAAAGAGATGATGAAGCAGATGAGCAAGATTCAGCAGATGAAGATGGAAGAGTCGACGGCGATTGAGTGATGAAAGGGCCCGACATCCTATCCGATACCAATGTGCGGCTCCTGCATGCAACCGCATTGTGAAGCAGTCAAGATGGGAGTTCCATTGGCAGCCCCAATGTGAGTGTGTATGCGAAGCAATATCGGATCTAAAGTTCACAGTGTCAACCCAACGCAAGCGTATTCAATTCCATGTTAGTGTAACAATGTCGTGTCGTAGATGTACATTCTTTAGTTCAGCTTCAATTCTGTATTGCAATGGCAAATCGACTCAATACCATTGGGCGTGGAGTGAGACCCTGCGAGAACCAATACCACAAGACCATTGGGTTCGTACTGATCCCAGTTGGGCTGGTTGGTTGGTTCCAGCTATTACGGAAGGACACCTGAACAAATTCAGAAATCGGTTGCGCGTTTAGACAGCTCGCTTACCTCATTTACCGCATATAATACAACAGTTCCAGAACTCATAATCTGCTCGCCTTTCTCTCCAGGAATTAACAGATCTCTCCGGACTGGTCGTATGGCCATCACATTCTCAGTAAACACAGGGTGGCCTGGCTGAATAAGTATACTAAGCGCATTGTACCTTGTACCATCCTGCATGGGACGAAGAGAAGTAACGGCCCAGCCATTTTGGGTGACGAGGCCATCAAGGGCCCACAGCCATCCAAGTGCAGATGGGTCCCTAGCTTGGACAATCAGGATCCTAGACCCGGAGTCCTGCGTTTTAGCGCTCTGTCCAAGCCAGAACCACCCAGGATAAAGGCGCATGTCGGGCTCTAGCCAGGCGCCGCTGGAATTAACATGGATCCACCTATCAAGAAGTACTCAGAGACGGAATATATATCGTTGGATGGTAATCACATACCTTCCAATGATCGGCGCCATAGCATCGAGGACGCGATTGCGTCTGTGATCATCCAGTAACTCAATTGTCGGAACCGGATTGTCAGCTCTGGTAACTACCCAGTTCTGAAAATGCTCAGTGGAATGTAGCCATGCATCGCGGTCGAAGAGTAGTGAGGATTGTCCACCCTATGAAGCGGGGGCCTAAATGGGTGTTTTCCATCGACGCTGAACAAAAATGCTCACCCGCACAAACAGAGTCATCGTGATTGTTTGATTTGAAGCGAGAGTTGTCGTCTGTGTGTGCGTACCGACACTACCACCAATACCCCCACCCCAGCCCATGACACCTGCTTGCACGGCGGCAGACAGTTCCTGGCGAATGGAAGTCTCGTGTGCCTTTCAACAAGTCTATTAACGTCAACTATCTTCAAGCAGGTAAGAAAAATACGTACCTCATTCCAAGCAATCGCTGAGCTCGTGCACACATATGTTGCCCCAAGTACTAGTCTCGTGTTGAATATATGCCCATAGTAATTGAAAGCTGTCATGAGGTTGTGTCGGATGACATTTTGCGAATTTCCTTGTAGTGCCCAATCGATAGCCCCTATGAAGTCGCTTGAGATATGGGCTCTCATCTCTCTGACATCAAAGTCAATGAAACCACGAGTGATTTCCAAGAATGATGATGCGTATACTGTACGCCGCTCATTGACTCCCGAATGCATATTCAACAATTGGACTGAAGTAGAAGCAGATACCCTGTTGATTAATGTAAGAACATGAAAGACCCTGTCCATGATGTGCCAAGCCCTTACCAAGGAGAGGAAAAGTCAACAGAAGCTTCAGTCCAACCATTGTTCACGAAAGATGAGGCCGACGATGTCTCCATTGTATCAGATCGGAATCTTGCTTCGTTCATATTTGCGGCAGGAAGTGGCCCATCGAAGATGTACAGTTCTCGACCACTCGGCATAGGCCCGTTGGGTGTGACGATGACACCTCGTAGGATATTGGTACTACCGACCTTATAATGTCAAATCTTAAGTGTCAAATTTCCACGCGAGCCAAAGGTTGAGCTGACCAGCGCTCGGCGTAATTCAGGTGATTGATTGACTTGCCACATATTGGGAGGGAGTGGGTCTGAAAACGCCACCTGGTTTGCAAGTGGTTAATGAGGGATGATTCACAAGACATTCCTTGTTACCTCGTCGACTACAGCCTCCAATAATTGTGCCCCATCTTCAGGCTGAGGAATTTTCGGGAACTAGGTGCAAGTGTGTAAGGAGCATCATCAAATAATGGCGAAGTACAGCACATACCGGGGCAGGATCTTTGATAACGTCGATCTTTCTTCTGGGTTTCTTGCACCAAGCGAGTTTATCATCACAAAGAAAACACGGCGTCGGGAGCTGAAAACGTAAATGAGAATGTCGAAGTCAGCAATAACACACAGCCGACCTCTTCTATATTGGCTGACACGTTAACAGTATCAGCACTGCTATTTTCAACCGTAGTAGCTTTATGCTGCGCCTCAATTGGGAAGTAAACGACTGCAGGGTGCTCTGCTGGTGTCACCTCAGTGACCCGGTTGTCTGAGTCGTGGTGAGTAGCATCTAGAGGATTCAAGGATGGCTATAGATTCATGAATGAGCACCTTAGTGTTAGAGGGAGTCAAGAACTAAGAGAACCTTGATTTCAACCTCTTGGGAACTAGCGGTAGCCAGAACTGTCTCGCCACTGCCATCCATGCCAGCGAGAGGGGAAGCCTCAACGGTAGCAACATTAGTAGAGTCGATGTTGGGGGACAGATTAGACATTCTCCAAAGAGATTCCTGGCAGTACCGTCAAAGAGCTGTATTGGTCTGGGCTTTATACTCATTGCAGGTCTTCGCCGACGAGAACTTCCAGGAGGTAAGCCGAAAGTTTTGCAATTGACTGACAATTCCAGCTCCTCAGAGAGTATAAGAAATCACTGTTACGTCTGAGAGCACGCATGAAGATGCTTGGCAGCCGATGGCAGTACTTTCCTTGCTTTCTGGAGGATCATCGCGATTCGAAGTCGCGGAGAATGCAAGTCATCTGATTGCTCGAGACCAGCTGCGCTTCCTTACCACGCCATTACACGGTCGACGCGGAAGCCTCCCTTCACCTTGAGCCAGCACCTCGTGGACCCAGTGGACCCATTAGTTATAGTTGGTTTGCTGGTAATGCTCCTTCAGAAAATGGCCCAGATTTCTGACCAGCGTATCTCTAAGGTCCTTCAATCAGCCAAGAAGCCCTGCAATGCGATGACCTTCCTGTAGAAACTTTTCAGCATTTACACTAAACATGACCAGTGGGACGATGCTGAACGACTTTTGTCGTGTGCTAGTCTGTTGCGCACGCGTCCGCGTCAACAAAGCATTTTCGCATTATACTTTGAATAGCCTGTGGTATCAAATTGACAACGAGAAAATCGCCTTGAGCATGTTGTCCTCGTTCGAAGAGGATGTCCGCCGTATCTATCGTTATCCTCTTTCTCGGAGTATTTATAGATTGGAGTCCAAGTGCGTGCGTACTTCTCCCATTGCTGGATGGCTTTACATTCATGTCCATTCAGTTTACAACACCTCCGGGATGAGATCTCACCGGCTGCGTTTGAGCACTTCCATTCATTCGCCATCCGAGCTCGCAGCGTTCGCGTCTCTTATGAAGTAAAATTGGACTACATAGTCTGGTGATCCTGGCAGCAGGTTGCCTCGCTTGAGCGCAGAAAATAGACATCCTCCCGTTAGCGCTAACAGGAAGATGTCTATTTCCTGCGCTCAATTGGCTGGAATGCTTTCATTACGAAATCCTCAAGGACATCATACCATCCATGATAAATCCTACTATTAGGCATCTCGTTATTGAAGAGAGGTATGTGTACAACTTGTATGACAAATCGGAACGGGATTTGATTCAAGACGTTGTCACTACTTGTACTCTGCTGCGACAACTCGAGCTGTCCGGCTACTGCAGACTCACAGACATAGTTTCTCTCATTAATGCTTGCAAAGATATGCGCGGCATATCGACGCCTGTCTGCTCCGTCAGTGATGTGGTCTCTCGAGGTCTTTACGCTTTGCCTAAGTTGACAAACTATCACTCAATATCTGTCGAATCAGCATCGAGGCCGATACATGCAGGCAATTCCGCTGACTGACCGAATTGGAGCCTGGAAGATCCGCTGGCCAAATTACAGGCTTCATCCTGTCTGGCGAGTTCTGCGCTCTTTAGATGCTTTAAATCGCATTTGCCCCAATGCTGTCCATGGAATCTGGACCTACTTGCCTTTTGTATGTCGTGTCGAAATGTTCAACGTCTCTACGCATACTTCAGCTACTAGTATCATCGGCCGCTCCGACCGATGTAATTCTGGCTGATCTAGTCTCCCCCTTCTCTCCCGCCATTCATCTACGTTCAATACGTGTTGATCTCCCCCTTCGTGTCAGTCACGTATGCTACCGATGACTTCAACAGTACGCATCCATCTGACCAGAGATTGAAGATTTCAAGGTCGCACACGCATATAATTGCGCCCACACCAGGTGTCTGCAAATCCTCTTTGACATTGCATCCGTCTTTCCTCATCTCCGCGACATGACCCTACCAGCTCTGAACCTTCTGCCTCCTGCAGTTCTTCAAACATATGGTCTCGCAGAACGCCAACACGATCTTCAGAGGGCACCATCTGAAGATCAACCGTGATCGAACGAGCCTCCGTTGATCATGCCCTGGGACATCATCTTTCTGCCCTACACATTTCTGTATTTCCTACTTTGAAGCTCGATGATGATGATTGCACATGGTCGTCTGATGAGCCATATACTAGTCTTCTTGAAGAATTGGTGAACGAAATGAGCAATATTCGGCAGATCAAAGTGGAAGAGCCAACAGTGGTCGCGTGATGGGAGAATCCAGCGTACTAATACTTTCTTCAACTCGTCGTGCTGATGCTACGGCCAGCCGTCCATCCTGTTACTTGGCGCATCTTACGTAGGACTATTGGATCTCGTGTCATAGCTATTAGGATACACAAAGCGAATCTGATGTACACAAGTAAGACATCACAAATTGTAAACAATCATTACCCATGGAATCAGCGCGTCGTCGCGGTATACGACAACCTCAGAGTACTTCACTGCGCCGCCTTGCAGCGAAGTGAGAGCGTCAATCTTGACCCGCAAACTTAAGCTAAGCGCCGCGCACGCCGCTAGTGGTCGATCAACTCACCGAATCATACCCGAGAGGTGGTCGCCGCAGACTGGTGTCCTTTGATCGCAGAGCAGCCCTCTTGCCGACTACGACCCGGCTCAGTAAAACGACTTTGTCGTTGGACTGGTTGTTAATATTTTTCGCAAAGTAGTCCGCCTCTGATGCGGACAGCAGACAAGAAGCTGAGCTCCTCAACGGTAGAAGGACATGATCTCGACTTACTGTTCGAGGCGGCCGTCGAATATATGCCTCTACCCCAATACCCGTCCTTCTCTGTGGTACACACGCTCATATTGCGTTCGACGACATACTAAAGACCACCTACTGGCATGCCCATCCGCGAAGTGGCATTTAAGAACATGGCACACGGCGCAGTCAGGAAGGTTGCAGGGGCTAGTGGTGTTCTCCCCGATACTGCATGCACGACCGAGTCCCTGGAAGAGGGGCGTCTCAACAGGTCCCCGGACTCCTTGGGACGCGACCTGAGCCCTGATTTATAGAACATATCAGATACGCGCTCTCCGTCAATAGGTCTCAAAAGACTACTTGTACTGGTCGTACTGCTGCGCATGGTTCCGGGCTTGAGAGCTTCGCAAATCGACTCGGTAGATGCTCCGGATAGAGGGAAATGCTTTCTGCGGATTCATCCAGCCGCTAGTGAGCAGCCTCTGCGCTGAATCCGTTCCAATGTCAGCGCGGGTGCTCCAGTGAGCTGATTGGTTTTCTACCTGTGGTGTAATCGGAGTCCGAGGGATGGAGTCTTGTGAGGACCTGGATGCACGTACAATGATAAGGCAATCGTAGCAAAGTAGAAGGTCCATCATCGACATACGCTCATAATCGATCACGACCAGCGAGAGGTACAGGAGGGGAGGGGAGGAAGGTGCGATTGACTGTGTTGATTGGGGATGATAAAGCTCGTTTGGCAAGACGGATATAGTAGCTCTTCCAAGTGTTTATGAAGGCACGCCCGAAAGTTTCATTTCCGAAGGGTCGAGCGTCTCTGTCTTCCGTTATTCCCTGGCCAGAACTTTGATGAACACGCTGCTAAGGACCACACAATGACATACCCTAAGCGCCTGCGCAACTTGTCAATGACACTTATGTAGAAGTGGGGGATCTGCGCTCGCGTCAGAGATGTTTATCGGTTGATAGCCTTTCACTAGATGGGATGCCGAATATCTGTGAACAAAAACCTCAAGAACCTCGGGGATGAGGTTTTCTGCAGCCGCAGATCTGATTACGAGTCAGGGTAGCACAAAGTGAAAGTGTTGGCCTGAGGCCTGTCGGGCACACATTTTAATTGTAACGCTTGCTGAGTGCAATCGCTGCTAGCAACCGATGATATTGAGAGAGCCATATAGTTCCTCTTGCTCATAGTGTCACTTTATAGCCTGTAAATTGATAGCTACCCGTGTAAACACTGGGTTTCCTATACGGGAGAAAGTGGCTGTATCCACATACCTCGGTGCCTTCGTCTCGTGCTTCGGTGACGTTATACAAGATGCGTGGATCCAGGTATTCTACACACCAACCATGATCTTCAAGACGTTCTAGGGAGAGACATTAGTGACCTCAGTGGCTGAGGTAATTAAGACGTAGAATTGTCGACAGGCTCAGTCTTTTGCAGCCAATAACCACAGCGAACCCTCCACGACCATACAGAGAATATGAGATGTGTCGATGTTGGAGGAGGATGAGAAAATATATATTGCCAAGGGTTCAACAAATCCAGTAGTAAGCACCTTTGGTCTAGTTTAAGCGGCCAGCTGAATATTGCCCACCACATCTCGTCAAATGAAACTTGTCGCGACCAACTTATGTTTCCTGGTGAGATTCAGCACATTTGACATCCAGGTATTCAACATACTGACACACATGATTGTAATTGGATCTCTTTCCTGATCGTTTCCTGATTTTATGCGCCAGAAAACTCTTTCGAGAATCGAAACAACAAACTAGGAGTCCGTCCGACATTGGCGTACGGATTGAAGTTGCACTGTTGTGTGACATTCGTGGGTATTCCTCCAGCATGAATTAGCTATCCAGTGAGCGTTTACTGTACAACAAACACGAAACGAACAGTGTACGTTGTCCAGCCACGGCAACAAGTTGGAAATATAGCGGCGTAACGCTAGCAGATATATGATTTAGGAAGCCACATACGGATACGCTGTCTGTGTGCCTAGCGGCAGGGCGCAACGCGCTACATCTCGAAATACAGCGACCCCCAGTTCTAGCAAGGCGACTCCATGTTTCACCAGAAACGCTACAGCCCCGTCCGCGTGGTCCTGTGAAAGACAAGAGCTATTTCCAGGTATCCCGAAATAAATGTACCTCGCGATACAATGCGTCGATGCGATGCACAGTAGTATAGAGTAGTATTCGATGGGCTACGATGGGGTGCCTTGCAGGACGCCTAGTGGTGGTCATGGGGTGCATAATTCAAAGTTCGAGGCAGGGAATTGGATTTGGAAGCGGACAAGTGGCTGCCTGTCTTGGGTTAGGGTCAGGTCGGCCGTCGGGAAAAGTGTTTTCGCGTGTTCCGTCGTCACTCAAAACTCACTCAGGTGGCGCCGCGCGCTCCTCTTCCAGTGCGACTTTCCCTTCCGCAGCCTGTCTGCTCGTACTAAAAGCCCTCGGCCGGGGCCACGACCGTCCGCATTCCTCTTCCCTCGCATCCTTAGGAAACCGACTTGCATCTGATACACTCACGATCTCACGACTTGCCAGGCCGCCGTTTTCGCCCTCTCAGTCGCGCAAGCACCCAGCCATTCTCGGAATCTTAGGTCCACGAGCCACCCCGGAGCTCACGCGCACGGGCTTATAACTTTTTACTTATATCATCTGCCAAGTCGAACAGGTGAGCACCGTTTTCTGCGCCCTCTTCGTACAGGAGTGAATATATGCTTCTAGGAAAATCCGCTTTCCCCTCGCATTTTTCGATAACGCGACAACACGTTCGGTATACTAGTCTCGTGAGTCGTTTCACATCTTTGTCTTCGCCAGTGTTGTCTCACAGCATTTGCAGCTGCTTCAGAGCAACACATCCCATCGAGCACGAGCACTGCGATCTCACCATCAACGTTCAACCCGTTTCCCGGAAATGCGCTCCTCCCTTATCCTCTGTATCCTCGCCCTCTTCGCGACGAGCATATTGGCCTCGCCTACTGCAGTACGACGAGACGCTGAACCTGCTGCACAGCCTCCCCAGCGGACACACGTATACAGTCGCCGGCCCAGAGCACATCCATGAAATCTCGTCCGTTTCGACCCCACGGACACGGACATTCTGTATCCTTGAACGGACTCCACGGACATGCTTTCTTGACGCGATGTATCTCCCACTGACCCACGTTCCTTTGTATCGCTCATGGACACTTCGATTTCAACGTAGCTCTAGTACCACTAGTCCATACTTACACCCTCATGGTATCTGATGGAAGCGAATCAATTTCAGTTTCTCACCCCACCCCACTCACTTTTCATCACCCAAAGGCAGAGGAGCTTCCTGTGTTCGTATGTACCTATTTCTCTCCAGCGCTCTCGAACCTTCCTTCTCACCATTTCACGGTTTTGTCGTCTATTTCCGACACCTTCCCATCTCGCTGTATGCCCCGCCACCAGAGCCTTGCGCCCACGGATCAACACGCGCTTGGAGACTTCGTCCGCCTGCGAACCCACTGGCACTCCTGCGCACGTCACCCACCCGCTGGCAGCTTTCGGAACACCCTGACGTGTTTAAACGCTGCTCGGAGCCAGATTATTATCATGAAGCTCCCAGTCAAGATTTCGTCGGGGTAAGCGGTGGGCAGCAGGGGTGATCTGCGCTCTCTAGAGATGTCAGATCCTCTCCAGGGAGAGTGATGAAAGCAGAAAGACTTACGACGGACAGCTGTATGCATGGGCCTTTGTAGCATCGTTCTATGTGCTGGCCCTGCAGAAGAGCTCGTAGCAGGAGCGAAACTGTATGGCTACTGCAGCTCTTGAGCAGAACATGGCCATCGCTGAAACATGGAGGATGAGATTTAAAGGTATATCAACGCTGAGAGTAAAGGATACAGCGAAGATCTGAGAACTTGGAAAGACCTTACTGTCATGTAAGTCTCATGTAATTTAAATTTGACTTGCTTGTGAGGCACTGACTCTACTATATCTCTGGATGCTAGGACTCCTAGACTCACGAGGCGACCTTTTCAGCGTCTCCAGCGGATTGCGCTAGATGTCCTACAAGCACAGGCGTCGTCCGTATCAGGGTTCTTGACGTCTTCGGTACTGCCTATTGGTCCGATAGATATCGGCGGGCAAGATGCACCTTGACCTCGCAAAACAGCATTCACTCACACCAATTCCCGATTGCTGGCTCATTTGGACGCCCCGCGAGCATGCTCAATAAATTTCACTTCAGCATTTACTACACAATATCATTTGACTCCTACTTGATAAAATTTTAGGAATAAGCAAAAGTAATGACCCGCAAAGCTAGCCTCAAGTTGGCTTCAAGTGCCTTTGAGCACGGACAAGTGATTCCAAAAAAAGTGACAATGTGCACCGTCTGTCTGATGCGCTTCATATCCTGCCCGGCCTTCGACATTATCCGAGTCCTTTTCCTCACCTTCAACGCGCTACTTCCCAATCACATCCTTCAGCTGCGTCTTCGGGATCGCCTCAGGGTAAGCGCGCAGCTTGAGCCGCGTCTTCGTCGCCTGCTCGTACGCGTACGCGAATTTCACTAGGTTGAACTCGCTGTACGCCGTCCCGAGGAAGGCGATACCGAATGGCATGTTGGGCCCGCTCGCCCGCGTTGGATTGGGCTCGGGGAGCACAACGTCAGGCGGCTGGAAGCCAAGCGGCACTGCGAATGCCCAGATCAGTCTCGTGGCTCTCTGCGGCATACCTCATAGCGTTACCTGAGATGACCGGGTAGCCTGCGATGGCCGCCGGCCGGGACGCTTTGTTGGTGGGGATGAGGATCGCATCGAGGCTGAACTCTTTCAGCGCGCCGTCTATCCCATTCGCCCGTCCCGTCTCATAGTCGAACGCCAGCGCATCGAAGTATGCCTTGTCCTGCGGCGTCTTCTCCGATTTGATAAACCTACGCAAGTGCTGTTAGAAGAGCGCATGTGTGCACTGGAAGAGCGGCCGTACGTCGACTGGTCCGTCCAGTATGGCTCAATGAGCTCCTTGTCGGCGTTCGCCGTGTTAAATGCGATCAGGTCAGTCAAGTTTTTCACGCCCGTTGGCACCTTGACCAGCTTCGAGATGTATTGCTCGATGTTCACCTGCCCGCGGCTCAGCTAACGCATGTGTCAAACACGGTAGGCCACGCACTTTGAAGTCACCGCAGAGGACGTTGTTCTCCCTCTTCCAGATCCCGTCGTAGTCGTATTCCGCTTTGAAGTCTGCCGGGTCAACTATCGTCGCGCCGAGCCCGCGCATCACGTCGAGTGCTGCGTTGAACGCGATGATAGTGTCCGCATTCATGCCCTCGAACACCTTCCGCGGCACGCCAAGCCGCGCACCCTTCAGCCCGTCCTTCTGAAGCGCCTGCGTATAGTCCGGGGCGACTTCAGGCTGGCCCAGAGAGTAGTTGTCGAGCGGGTCGCGCCCGACGATCGCAGAGAGCACGACTGCGGCGTCCGCCACACTGCGACACATGGGCCCGACGCTGTCCTGATGCTCTGAGATCGGAATCACTGTCCCCAGACGACGTTACGACACCCCTAACGGCGCTGCACTACGGCGACGTACCTCCCGCACGCGATGTGAGCCCGACGGTGGGCTTGATGCCCACGACATTATTGTGGCTGCTCGGGGAGATGATCGACCCGTCCGTCTCCGAACCGAGCGAGCCCGCCGCAAGCCCGACCGCCGTCGCGACGCCGCTGCCCGAGCTCGAGCCGGACGGGTTGCCCAGCGGCACGTACGGGTTCGTGCACTGCCCGATGCGCCCGCTGAACCCGGACGGCACCTCCCCGCGCCAGTTTGCCCATTCGGACAGCGTCGCCTTCCCGAGCAGGATCGCGCCCGCTGCGCGCAGCTTTGCCGCGACGGTCGCGTCCCCGGGGACGACGGAGCCGACGAGGGCCCAGGAGCCTGTAATCGGCCGCCGTTAGCAGCCTCCTGTCAGAGCGCACGGCCTGCACCCACCTGCAGTCGTCTCCATACCTGCCATGCGCGTGTGAGCGAGGGGAGGGAGGACCATCAGCATAAACATGCGCACCGTCTTCGTGGCGAGTAGCAATGTTGTCTTTCAGCAGGAGGGGGATCCCATGGAGCGGTCCTCGGATGCCTGACGCTGCGCGCTCCTTGTCCAGTTCTGCCGCGTGCTCGAGGGCCTTGGGGTTCGTCTCAAGCACCGCGCGCAAGCCGGGGCCGTTGATGTTCACCTCATCGATCCGCGCAAGGTATGCCTATCCGCCAGCGTCATCTCGCATGCCCCTCGCACACAACGAATGCGAGAACGCACCTTCACGAGATCGACGCTCGTAAAGCGGCCCCTCTTTAGCCCGTCCTGCAGCTCTGCGATGGAAGCCTCGTATAGGTCGGGGTACTCGGACATCCAGGAGAACGTCTGCTGTGCGCCGTATGCCGTCAGGCCGAGTCCAAGTGCGAAGGCGAGGGTAGAGAGGATAAAGCGAGGAGGGATCATAGCATTCCGGTCGCTGCGCGGGGATGCAAGTAGTGGTCGGACGCGATAAGTATGGCATTGGGCTTTATACCCAGCCGTGAGCCGTGGCTGCAGTCCTTATCTCAGCGGGTGTTCCGTTTTACATGGGATGACTAGCTGAGTGAGCTCTCCCGGAACCGATGTGTTTGAGACACAAGGGGCGGGCGTGTCTTGCAATATATCAGTAGATACGCTACGTTACAATCCATGTTGTTGCCGTTTGACTGAGCAGATAATTAAGAGGCACAAGGGTAGGCTGCAGGGCTCAGAAGAGGCGTGTGCCTGGCTAATCACGCGCGCGGTGGTCGATCGCAGATCAAGATCCCAGGTTTCGGTCGTCCGTCGCCCGCTGTGCACGAATCTTACTGAATCCGCCAAACCACATCTCCTCCACTGACAGCCACCTTCAATGTCACTCTAATGCAGAACAACCTCATTGCCATAGATGATAAGGCGGGACAGAAAGACAACTGGGTGATTCTGTGCTGCACACTGTCCCAGACAGACCCAAGGCGATTACGTTGCGAAGAGAAGTCGGCGCTCACGGATGAACAAGAATTTTGACTGAGAACGGCGTCAAATCTACTGTCCACAAATAGAGAGCTATGCACTCACTCTGGCGATCTTTGTCTTTGATGAGAGTCTGAATGCCCTCTTCCATGAGGTCCTCAAGTCGAATTCTCTTCGTAATCAGATCATTCAGACCGTGTAGCTTTCCCTCTGCCACAGCTTGGAGTATCTCCGGATGTTCGCGGTTACAGCCCTGGCTAGCTGAAATTTGGAGTTACTTTATGGGATGTCATAGTGCGAGACGCGCGCTTACAAGTAAGTAAAGCCTCCTTTCTCTGCAACGTCGTGATGTCCAAGCTCGGGTTGGTGTCCCATACCGCGACTTCGACAACGTTGCCCTTCGGCCGTACTGCCTGCAAGGCAGTGTCGAGACTAACTTGAAGCCCTGCACAGTCAAAGACGACTGCCGCGCCGCCGCTTGTCGCTTTGAATGTCTCCGCAGCGATGTCGGTCGTACGGGGATCATATGCGGCGGAGGCGGAGAGCTGGAGAGCAGTCTCGCGGCGCTGGATAGTGGGCTCGGAGATTCCGACCCAGGAAGCATCTTGCGCTCTGCGGCGAGTAAGTACATCGAACATTTACTATTTATAGACGATCACCTTAGAACAATTAGCACAAGCAAACCGATCTGCGTGTCTGATTAGAACGGCATTCTCATCTGGAGTCGGTCTAAACCCACCGGCCCTCCACCTATAATCAGCGCACTGTCCCCAGGGGTAAACGTAGACACCTTCACCGCGTGCCATGCGACAGACAGAGGCTCGATGAGCGCGCCGATATCCACTAGCAGTGTCCAAAAAACTGAGCAGACAGGACCATATGGACGGAGGACATACGAGGGACACTGTCCGGCAAAACGTGCACAAACTCTTGCTTGATAGCGATGTACTCTGCAAGGCCACCGCCGTATCCGCCAATCCCCTGGGAAAATAGCATTCAAGGGACGTTTGAAGATCATCTAGAGAGGACGTACCACGAACGTAGTGTGGGGACAGACGTTTCGTTTGTCAGAGGTACATGGTCCACAAGTCGGTTGCATGCATGAAATCACCGGATCACTGCCCAAACAACGTCAGGAACAGTCGACAAGCAGATGCACTATGTATAGGCATACACGACAGCATTTTTTCCGATAGCGAAACGGCCGGTGTCGACACCCTTTCCCAGTTCAACAATCGTTCCAGAGAATCTAAGATCAATTAATTTTGAACACAAACTGCTTGTATAAGAGTGATACATACTCATGGCCCATTACAAGCGGGAGCTTCTCGCCCGTAATAGGGTGCGCCTGGGTCAGTGTTGGAGATGGCGGTGGCAAATGAAAGAATGAGTGGACGTCAGAGCCGCATACTAGTGTCCCATTAGGGTCATATCTTGTCGAAGGTAGGATGGAGCTCACTTCCATTCCTGTACGGCAACGCCGATCATCAGTCATCTAGGTGTATGAAAAGAGTCTTTCGATCACCAACCACGCGATCTGGAACAGACACTCCAATCAAGCGAACGTATACAAGGTCAAATTGCGCACCTTGATCTTCACTTGCCCGTCTTCTACAGCAGGCTCAGGTATGTTTTCAAGCCGAATATCCCCGGGCCCGTAATAGCGTATCGCCCTCATACTAGCTCGGAGGTCGAATATGTAAGGTGCAACGGATAAGGCTCACAACTCGAGAACCTGAGAGCTACTTATGCTCATGACGCCCCACTAAGATCGCCGCCAGATGTCGGCACCAGTACACTACGATCATGGGGTGCTGTCTTGGAGGCAAACATGAGATTTCCAAGCATAGATGGGAGGGTCTCGTGGTGGGAAGCCAGTACAGTGGCTGGGAACGTCGTTCCCACTGGCCACTATCGCGACGCTTCTAGGACCAGGTGGACGGCATCTGACACAGTGGATTACCAATGTGAACAAACTTGCAAAGACATTGCATGTCTAGAGCATGTCAGACCTCAGAAGTAGCTGAACGTACTCACTAGCCAATAAATTTGAGTGCGCAGCATAAACCTCAAGAACGAATTATCCACAGAAGTCTAGATAGAGAGTTTTATGACTACTCCCTCACTGATTTGCTCCTTGAGCGATAACAGAGGCACGGGTACCATGTCATATATTCACCGGAAGTCCATAAATTTCAAGTTGGCTACGGCAGCTGAAGGTTCCAGTTGTTCATCGGCCTGACAGTGCATGCAGGCCACAATCTTGTTGAGGTAGAAACGAACCCACAAAAGAGTAAAACACACATCCTCTTAAATCCACCCATTGGGCAGCTAGACATCAAAGCCAAGGATTGGCTTCAGCTTTGATATCTAACTATCCAATAACTGGCACTGAGTTGAAGTTTGACCCACAGCACAAGTGATATGCAAGTCAACAGAATAAGTCGCATATCAGTTTCAGAGGCATAGACAATTGTCAAAAGGGCCATCAGCAATGTTAAGAGAGAACCTGCAGCAAACCGCAGTAGAGTTGGTGAAGAGCTGGGAAGGACTTTCTCTTCCCGGGCCAGCATTTGGCGCTTGGTCTCTAGCGCCCAATCGTCGCGAGCATTTCGCGCCGTCTTGCTCCCTCCCTCCTCCTCAGCCCTCAAATCAAATATCCCAGGTAAGAGTCTATCCATACCCTAAACCTTGAATGTGGGTCGCTGAGAGATGTATTACCAAATATATAGACAAGACGTACAGACTCGCACCACGACCAGAACCAAGATGACAAAACATAGCAAGAACAACACCGCGTCTTCCATCTTCTCGTACGCAGAATACAAAAAGCTTGACTATGGAACCAAGCGGGTAAGTCTATCTCTCATATTCTTTTTGAGTTCGTGACATAGTAAGCGTTGTAGCAACGTCTAGGGAACGAGTCCATGCGGCGCTTCGATGCGTGCGCACTATGTCTGCAGCGAGCACGGGAGCCGGTAGCATGTCAGAAAGGCCATCTTTTCTGCAAGGAGTGCGTGTACACGGATCTCGGTGCGTCTGCTCCTGAGTGTTAGACGGTGTCGTGGTTGACTCATCCTGGCGGTCAGTCGCACAGATGGCGGATATCAAGCGACAGAAGGCCAGACTGGAGACGCTGAAGCGTGAGGCAGACGAGGAGAAGCAGAGAGCACGAGAGGCTGCGCGGGAGCGAGTCTTGCTTGAATTTGAGAAGGGACAGCTCGGCTTGGCCGCCACCCCGACCATCACCACCTCTGGTGCCGAGCCGAAAGGATGTATGTCCTCGTTATTCTTTGTGACTGCTATCCTCGCTCATCTTCATAAGCCCGGGGGACAAAACGCAAGTTTGACTTCTCGGAAAACACTGTTGAGACGCTTGCACGAGAGGCGGAGGAGGCTGCTTTGCGGCAAATTGAGCGCGAGCAAGCGGAGGCGCTCAAGCACAAGCTCCCCGATTTCTGGCTTCCGTCTCTCACTCCAACGTACACATCAAGCGGACCACCAACTTCATTAACAGACGTCAAAGTGCAAGCCGCATGTCGCGGGGGAACGCCAGCGCACCCACTGACGTGTGTTTAAGATATTTGTATGGTGCTGGAAATTTGCTGATGTGATTGTTACAAAGGCGAAAGAATCTAATCCCTGTGAAGTTCATTTACGACACGTCCTCGGGGCCTTCCCGCTCTGGTGAGTCGACACCAGCGACTGAGGACGGATCAAAGCCGAAGAATGACGACGAGAAACCTCCAATATGCCCATCGTGTAAAAAGACGTTGTCGAATAGCACTCTGATGCACGGTATGGCTGTTTCATTTGATGTCCGGATGACATACTAAGTAGTGCTGTGTAGTGATGAAGCCCTGTGGACATGTTGTCTGCAAGACTTGTACTGACACGCTTGTCAAGCCAGCGAAGCAATGCATACAATGCGATGTACAGCTCGGCGACAAGGACATTATCGAACTTGCGAGGGAGGGTAGGTTGAACTGTGCACTCATGATTCTCACATATTCATCATTCCACAGGTACTGGCTATGCGGCAGGGGGACTGGCAGAGACATCCAAGAAGGGCGTTGCGTTCCAAGGCTAGGGACGTTGCATAGTCGGGCCCTCATTTATGTGTATGTGCTTGTGTCTGAATTATTATGTACTGGGCAACAAGCTGGAGAAGAATAGGTATCAGAGTGGAGCCATATGTGCGAGTGTCGTTTCGAACAGAAGTCGACATTATATTCGATGTGTCCACAATAGAGGCGGATTATCTCGCAAGAGGAAAAAGTTGATCAGGCCAAAGTCGTTTCACTAAGCTGGGTGCTTGTGGGCGAGAAGCGATGTTCACCGGGCCGAGAGGGGACGCTGAAGACGCCAAAAATTCGACAGACTTCGTTGCATCGAACATCTCGAAGGCGAGTTGCTGGAAACACAGGGAGCGAGAGTCGTGCTACGTCCAAGTAGAACTAGTATAACATAGATCTTAATTAGGAGGTACACAACGGGCTCATTCTCGAGATCACAATGCCGCGGCTACCTGCGACCTAGAACATGGAGCGCGTTTTTATGATGGCGCACTGACTATGTACATGTATACTATCAAAGAGCCATGTAGTCAACCAATACGGTGGTTCTGCGCGTGAGAGATCAAGACGGATGAATCCGCAACTTTCGTTCAGGCCGGGCACGATGCTCACCGGAATATACCCTTGGCACGGAGTTTCGGAAACCGGGAGGAAAGCTCTCCCCACCAAGCTTGTGCCGCGGGTAGGACATGATTTCTCTGCCTGGTATATAATCCAAAGGAAACTTGAGTAAGCTTCGAAAACTGCTTCCCTGTTAGGAAATCATCAATTCGCCTGCATTCTTCCTCGTTCAGTGCGGTTAGCACGATCTCTAGACTGGGGTTGGAAATCATCCATCGATAGACAATGTGCACTTCACGAAGCTTCTTAGTCGACACAGTTTTCAGAAGCGCGTCCACCCAACCGCGGGACGCGGCGCAGATGTCCTGGATAACCAGCTTGAGGACTTCTAGGTTTGTATTACTGCTCAAGTTTAGAGCAGAACCTGTTCTGTCTCAGTCGCACTCACAAGCATAACTATTCCATCGAACTTACCGATAAATTTCACGTCTGACTCGGGTTCTTTGCCAGACATCCCATTCAGTGTAGCCTCAAAGCTGACCAGCGAACTCCCAATAACCTGCAGTAACCGCTGGAATCGCTCGTAGTGAGCGGCGAGATCTCTCGTCGAAACAGACCCCCAGCGCCATAGCACAAGCTCCTCGAGCTTCGCGCTGATCGTTGTGCCAACGACAAAGTCAATGACGCCCTCCACGCCCGTGATCCCATCGAGAACGAATTGTGTGGGGAACGATCGCACGACCGGAGACCGCTTATCGAAGGAACCATTTTCAAAATGTACGTGCGCACATTCCAGCTGCTTTAGCTGCGGGAGCGCGGACACAAACCGGCCAAAAACGAGCACAGATGGAAACGAGACAAAGTAGATCCTAAGATGCGTGATAGAAGTGAACGCGGTCATGTGCAGGAACACGTCGGGGTGAAACAGACCAGTCTGCCACTTTGCCCAGTGCACCTCGAGCTTCGCCGCCCGTGTCAGCTGCCGCGCGAGCATCGCGGCGAAGGTCCCAAAGTGAGGGAGCACCTCAAAGTCGCGATCTCCACCCATGAGCACCACCTTCTTCACCGCGTCCTTCAGGTAAGGCTCCCGGCGGACCAATCTTGCCATGTGCGCGACTTGCTTTTTGTCCTTGAGCAAGACTGTCTGCAGCAGATGATAGCGGCTCCTTGGATACCAGCTCCGGCATACCAGCGAGCAAGCCTTGACCGAGTCGAATTCCCAGCTGAGATCAATGACTTGTTCCCAAACCTCAATAGGGAGAGAAGGCATCTGTGGATCATATTCTTCGCTCACACGTATGTGTGCAGAGTCTTGCACTATATGTTGCTGCTCGACACCTAGAGGTTGAGACCGGGATGAGCAAGGGACGTTGCCATGCCGAAAAATACTGGGATCGACGTACTGGGATTGTCGCTGGCGACAGCTCCATCCTTCTTAACACTCTCACCCTCGTCCGACATGTCTAGTGTGGCAGACGTCAGATGATTCAGATCTCGAGACGAGGTATGGGGGGGAGGGGCAGGCCTTGAATGTCGTTGACTAGCAATTCTAGCCTTTTTCTGCGACGTAATCGTTTCCGGCACTAACGATATGACCAACTCAGCTGAATGGACGATTGGCCATCAAGCTCCATTAAGTTGACAGTTCCTGATGCTCGCCAAGCTGATGGATTACTTACTTCTCCCGCCTATGATCCCACAAGGCTCGGTCTTCGTATGCGCCCAGAATACAGATGCTGTGCTGTTTCAATTGCGCACCATCAGCTTTGCTGCGAGGGCGGACTGTAACAGCGCTATCAGCAGATTCTGGCTAACACGGAAGCGCGAGTGGAAACGTTCTATGTGCCTGCAGATTGTCTGAATGAGACACTGTTAGACGTGCGTGAGACTTGTTCTCCTAGTGAGGGCCTTACTCATCGCCCAGCACTCAAGCCCAGTGAAAAGTGACATTAATTAAATCGAGAAACAGGATTACTCAATGAATCGCGTTGAAAACGCGCGAAGAAAGCTGAATTATGTAATTTTCATGCCAATTCAGTTTTTCTCAGTTTTTCTCAGTTTCTCATTTTGATTCATGTCGATTCTCATCGGGAATCAACGACCGGTGCGTCTGGCGTCTGGAGCTCGCGCTGTGGCATAGCTCCCGCGAGATGCTGGCCACAGATTATGCATTTTGAAATCCTTTCACTGTTTCCTCGGGATTCAATGAGCAATCCACTACAGGACCGCCGCGGGTGGGAGCCCTGGCAAGTATGACCTTAATGTTTGGTCAGCGTAACTTCAAATGTACTTGCAAACATCTTGTGGATGCGCATTATCCTTGATATAATGAAGGGGAACTTGTTAATCGCGCCAGCTTCAACTTGACGTCGGCTCTATGAGACATTGTCCGGATAGCTGCAAGTACTCCCAGGAGTGGTAATTAGCATTTTACAGACTCGGAACGAATGGTGGTCGAACCCACGTCCGTCAAATGCCTGGGAGTAAGGGGCGAGCGGAAAAACGGAAAAGCACATGTGTGCATGGGCACACTCATGTCGGAATGTTTTGGCTCAGATTGTGATTTATGGCAGATTGGAAACTAATTTATATTCAACTCCAATCCTATCTGGGTAACAGTGAATAGTTGCTGACCAGTTAAGCTCACTTACTTTTATTTTCCAAAAATCGAAAAAATTCTCAAAAATTCTCTATTTGATGAAGTGATTTAGTGCAAGTATAATGCGTTATATATATAACTGACTATAATTAGAGCTTTGCTTGAGGGCTCAAACGTTCAACGTTGGAACACCAGATTGTGGAGACAGATACAACACCAGCGGCACGTGGATGATCTACGTATGAGTCCAAACCCAGAGTTTCAAGTTAGTTACCGCCAGCGACGGACAAGGCCACTGGGATGGGGGCAACGAAGGACATCTCATCAAATGAAATTTCTGGTGAGGCTTGGTGGCGACTTACATAATACGCCTGCCAAGGAGGACGCCCGCGTGTGGTTAGCAGCTCGACTCTCATGCTCCACGGGGAGCTCGGTCACAAGCTCTTCTTCATCATGACCGTGGTCGCTCTTCCACTGGCTCTCGTCCCTCCTCTCTCAGCCTCCTGCCATGGCCGCCTCCGTCCTCCCCTCCGTCCTCCTCATCGTCCCTGCCATCTACCTCTACCTGATCTTGGCCGAGCGCAAGGTTTGTCTCCTCATCTCGTCTGCGCCCCCATCACTCACCCTCTGCACCGCGTCCAGCTGCGCCATATCCCCACCGTCGGAGGCCCTTCCTTGCCCATTCTCTCCTTCCTCGGCTTTGTTAGGTATCTCGTGCGCGGCCACGACCTCATCCAGGAGGGCTATGTACGCGTACGTATCCGTCATTCTCCCACTGGCGTCCGCACACTCACCCGCATCGCATGTAGTACAAAGGTGGTGTCTTCAAGTATAAGGCCACCCGCGGCTGGACCGTCATTGTAACAAGCACCCCGCTCATCGAAGAGCTCCGCAGGGCGGCCGACGACGAGTTGTCCTTTGCCGAGTCGACGAACGAGGTGCGTGGTGCACTGTGCGACGAGTCGACGACGATCATTGATCGGCCCTCCGGCGCGTTGCGTAGGTTCTGCAGATTCCGTACACGCTCGGCGCGAACATCCACCACAACCCCTACCACATCCCCATCGTTCGCTCCCAACTCACACGCAACCTCAGCACGCTCTTCCCCGATCTCAGAGACGAGATCGCCGCCGCGTTCAACGACGAGATCCCACTCAAGGGCGACGGTGGGTAGACGGATTAATTCCACCCGTATTCGCAGATGCTCACGTCGCAGCAGATTGGGTAAAGATTCGCGCGCGCGACGCAATCACCCAAATCGTATGCAGAACCAGCAACCGGGTCTTTGTCGGCCTTCCGCTATGTACCTTCCGTCCCGTCCTGCCTTCGAGCGATGCAGCACTGATGAGACCATGTCCTAGGTAGAGATCCAGACTACTGCGAGCTCAACAAGAGGTTTACCATCGACGTGGTCACGAAGGCATATGCACTTTCCCTTCTCCCGGACGTTCTGAAGCCGTACGTAGCGTGTACTGCGCGTGAGTCAAATATCCTCACCCTGGTGGATACGATGCAGGATCGTGGGCAAGTTATTGAAGACAGTAGAACGGAGCGTTGACCGTGGTGTCGAGCACGTCGAGCCGCTCATCACAAAGCGGCTCAATAAGATGAACGAGCTCGGCGATGAATGGGCAGATAAGCCGGTGCGCTGCACAGCGTCTAGGTATTCTGTTCGAGCTTTCCTGACCTTCGCTCTTGCTAGACGGATATGCTACAATGGCTCATCGAGGACGCACAGGGCGAGGAGCGCACGGTGCGCGCACTCGTCCTGCGAATCCTGACCGTCAATTTTGCGGCAATCCATACGTCGTCCATGGTATGCCTCGGCCATCTCTCCATCGGTTCCCGCTCTCCCAGACTAACGCACATGGCTCCCATAGGGCTTCATCAACGTCCTGCACTATCTCGCCGCGCATCCACAGTACGTACAGCCGATGCGCGAAGAGGTTGACGCGGTACTCGAGCAGGAGGGCTGGTCCAAGACCGCGCTCGGGAAGATGCGCCGCGTAGACAGCTTCATCCGGGAGGTGCAGCGGCTCACAGGGCTCGGCGCGACGTCGATGCAGCGGCTCGCGCTGAAGGACTTTACGTTCTCGGATGGAACGTTCATCCCCGCGGGCACGTTCGTCGCGGTGCCGGTGCGCGCGATTCACTACGACGAGGAGATATACCCACACGCGACGCTGTTCGACCCGTGGCGCTTCTCGAGCATGCGCGACGAGGACGGGGAGGGCACGAAGCACTCGGCAGTGAGCACAAGCACGGAATACATTCTGTTTGGTCACGGGCGGCATGCGTGGTGCGTGCGCCGCTGTCTCTCTCTGTCCACTTCACGCTGAATCTGTGCGGCTGCCGTTCGTCGTCTAGTCCCGGGCGGTTCTTCGCAGTGAACGAACTCAAGGCGATGCTCGCGCACATTTTACTGACGTACGACGTCAGGCTGGAGGGCAAGGAGGGCGTCCTGCCGCCGGCGCGGTTCGTCGGGGGCTCCCTGGTGCCCGATATGGAGGCGCAGGTACTCTTCCGGAGACGCCAGGCGTGACGGGGAGGGGATGCGCATGGCGCACTGCGATGACGAGCTTCGTATATACACGGACCATACTTGCTGTATTCACCACGGTGCGCTGGAACGGTACCAGGAACACACATACTATTCATCTTTTGCTGGACGATCGTTTCTGCGTCCGGGCGTTGGTAGCGAGGGCCAGTCGAGGGACGCGCGGTGTTTGTTCTACAGCTAGACAGTACCTTCAATCTAGCGGATAGGATCGCTACATAGCCCAACTGCAAAGGTGGCACTTGTTGACCTCTTGTAATCCTGGTACCATGAGTAAGTCGGAACAGACACAACGGAGAAATCATTCAGCTGTAGTCATAACTTGAGTACCATAAGCCTATCAGCTGCCATTCAGGGGGATGTTGTGTGTGGTGCTAGCTATTTCTTTATTACCTCATGTGTTCTCACTGTGTTGCAGAAACACAAGATATCGCGAGCATCGCTGTGGAGTTGAATGACTATCCAGAAGCCATATGGCACCATCTTCCGAAAACACAGGGTCTCATTGATAACACCAAATGTCCTTTCATTTATGTCACTATCTCCACTGAAGGTATGCTGTCCCATGTGGTGTTTCGTTTCTCATTGACGTTCTTTTATTGTCCTATTACATTCCAGCTCACACTGGTGCGCGTGCGAAGCGAAGACGGATAGAAGACGAGCACGACAACAGTACGTTTCCTCCCTATTTTATTTATGTGTTTTGGTTTCCCGGCGCCAAAGCTGCGAAAAGAATGTGCGAGAATACAGAGAGGATTTCCTTGACAATCGAAAAGAAGTAGCGCCATCCAGTGCAGGGAAGGTGTACGAGTTTCGGAGGCTACAAGACAGAGACGAACGAAGCTTCTACTGCAATCGTCCTGTGACGGCCACGGATCCAATCCCACTAAGCCTTCTACACCCTATTTTTTCTCAGTTTTGCGACGATTGCAGAAACTACCAGACGACAGATGAAGATCAAGGCTTGTTGGCGCAAAATCTCTCCGCCGCGATGTCTGAGATTTATAAGGACGAGGGTGCAAGAACAAGGAAATTTTGAGAAATCTTTCGTGAAGTCGGCATAGACCTCTCCGGCACATCAGGAAATCCCCCACCCCATGCTAATGAGACATAATTAGCAATAATTACATCTCATTAGTGAATTATTGGCATTATACTCATTAGATTAGTCGACCTGCTAATTATTGGAGTAATAGTCGTGCATTAATCGAACGTTTGCGAGCGATTAGCCATACATTGATTCATTGTTGCATACAAAACACTGTGTAATACACAAGTAACAACTATGACAATTGTACCGAAAGCAAATAGACTCAGACCAAACCAGGGACGACATAGTCCACGTCCGTCAGATCGGGATCGGCAGTGTCACCCTGCGCAGAGGGCGATCTGCGCGCTGGACGTAGTGATCGCCGTCGAAGCTGAGCACTGAGCCCGCATATGAGCTGTGTGGACTGCGTGGGTAGGCTTGGGCACGGTGGTGGTGCAAAGCCGCTTGTGGGGTCCTGGCCGGGGATGGAGTAGCTGTGTGCATGCGTGTTACCTTGTGCACCATGACCGATGCTGCTAGTCACGCGGCGGTCGGGGCGGGAGTGTGCGGGCAGTGAGCTTACCTGGAAAGGCACGAGGGTGGTAGCAGAGCCAGAGAAGGAGATGGAAAGACGGATGGGGCTCTGAGACGGCGCGGCAAGGCGGCCACACAAGAAGGGTGGCGCGGCCCTCTCGCTGTCGAGCGAGAAGGCCACCTCTTTTATTTTATTTTATTTTTTTATTCCAGGTTTTATACTCCATACTGTAGGGTACATGCAGAGTGTAAATAAAATGTCAATGCGGGGCGGTAATCAACCCGAAACGTCCCCCTCGCTCGCGGGCAAATTGAGGGGTGATTCAGCGCGGAATGATCCTACGTCAGTCGGGTCGACATGCTCAATAACGAGATAGTCGGCTATCTGTGTGTCCGCAATAAACGCGGGCGGGGGATACACCGGGGCCTGGTTTTTCCATGCCTCAATTAACCGAGTTGCTGTAACATCAGCTTTGTACTCCTTCACAAAGAATTCATAGTCCTTGGAGTCAGGGTGAACATCAGAGGGGTCCATATTGATCCTCTCACAGAAGGCCGAAAACGCGGATTTCCGCATTATGGTATGACTGTACAAGAGGGCATTGGCGATCGAGTAATGATCTCCCTCCTCTCAGTCTGTGGCAGCCTGAGCAAGAATTTCCACCCACTCGAAGGTTGCCACTATAGGGTTGAGATGCAGGAAGATGAGAACATCATCCTCTGTCCATCCTTGTTGATGACGCACTTGCACCTGACGCAAGTTGTCTGGTGCATAATTCTGCATGATGCCCTGTTTTGGCCTGATCCACATGGGGCAGTCAAACAGGGTGTGATCCCGATCGTCCAGGGTCCCTGAACACAGGCAGTTGCTGTTAAGGGACCTGACGACTGAGGATCAGGAGTTCTGCTTAAGACTACTATTGACAAAGGTTACTGCTACGCGTAAGGCTAACGTGCTATACTAGAACTAGACTGGAAGACTGAGCCTCTGCAACTGGCAGAGGTTTGAGAAAGTATACTGGTTTAAGCTACACTTCAGACTAGAACTGGAATAGACAACTGAATCTATTACTGAGTATGTCCCTATGAAGGTACGTAGGGAACAAGAGGACAA